TACCCGGATTAAAGGAGAATTTAATAATTTGCCAACATAACATATACCTAACATTTTGCTTGTATATCGTTTTGAATTGTATATAAATGTTTTATCAGTTTCTAATATAATATGTCTTGTTCTTAATATGAACTCTGGTACAAATATTCCAAGTTAAAGGGACACGACTCTGTCCTATCCTTTTGTGCATATTGTACGTCGACCTAAATAAATCTATTGTTACATTATAAAACAATTCAGTTGAATTTTGTATTTTATTTTGATGTTAGTGGAAATAGTTAATTGACATGCAACCTATTCTCAAAAATTATTACCACATAATTAACCCATCCACTACAATCTATTGTGCTTTTGAACTTGTAGTGGTATGTTAACAAGAATAGACCATTTGTAGATGTCTGTTATTAACATGACCACACGATTTATATTTAACGTGAAATACCACAAAATATGAAACACAAGAAGGAACAAAAACGGTTTTTATAATAACAACATTTATATTAAATTTTCTGTAATGATGTACATGCCTATTTTGTTGGTGTTATGTCCCTTTGACTGAATTAAGGTTTTACTGATGAAGTTGAAATATTTTTATCTGAGCTCACAAAAGTTGAATGAATTAATGCTGAAAAATGCTGAATAAACTAGTTTGGAAAATTTCGTATGTACGTGAATGTGTGAATATATTTTTAACGTCTGACCGCACATGGTTGAGACGGGATCCTTTTCACAACTACATCTTGTAGCGAGAGAGATCAAGGAAGAAGAAGAGAGAGAATAAACAAGCTCGTGTTTGCTATTTATAATTAATGTAATCACGTAACAGGATCCTAGGAAAAGAGCGGGAAAACTTGACTTGGTCACGCGCTGGAAAAATATTTGTACGTGGGCGGATTGCAACGCCCACCTGTGTGTTTATTGACCAATTAGAAGCTGATATTTCCTGAAAATCCGTATGAAACTGGATAAGCTTTTGATCCCCTATTTTGCACAGATTGTACAAAATTCAACATTAATAAGAAAGTGATATCGGAATGCTAAAAACTATTCTGTTAATGTGTAAATTATGAAGTAATCTATTTAAAAATATCAACCAATTAAAAAAAAATTATAAAATTGTATATTTACATTTGGTATCTACTGTCAGTCATATGTACAGTATATGTACATTGTAATTACTAAGAAGTACAATTTTTTTCACAAAAACTTTAATTCTACTCTTCTTCCATATGCATTTTTGAAAATTTTATTTATGAAAGTTAAATGCAGAAGTGGTGTGTATTACCCAGATGAAATTGGGAAATATTATTTGTTGTATCCTTAAAGAAGTTACCAAAGGAAAAAGGTGGTACTCGAGTGAAGGAACCATAACACGTACATAGATGAAATAAAGAGAGGTTTATTGTGAAAGATAATACATTACTGAAAGACTGCATTTTTCTTTACTGAGATTTCTCGAAGACGCAGGCCAATAGATGTAATGCACACTGTTTAATCATACTTATTATAAAACCCAGGTTATGTGTGTGTGTGTGTCTGTACGTTTATATATTGGATCGGATTTCCTACATTTTTCAACAGATTTCAACAAAACTTCACAGGACTACGTAAAATTACCTTGCGGTGGTTCTGACAGTACCAGAAATTGGAAAAACACAATTGTTTTTGGCACAAAATCAATTTGAAAACACGATTAAGGCATCGCGAAAATGAAAGGGGGACAACTCATATCGAGTTATACTTATTATAAAACCCAGGTTGTTTGTGTGTGTGTGTGTGTGTGTGTGTTCATTTATATATGAGATCAGATTTCCTACATTTTTCAACCGATTTAAAAAAAACTTCACTTTTTTTGGCAGGTAGCGTTTCTTATTGTCTTGCACACTTTTTTCTTTATTTTTACATTCAGAATGCTTTAAAAATTCCATTTACAAGACAATTGTTTATAATAAAATTCTATTCGATCGATAGACTCATAACGATCGAAAACAGTGTTTTTGTTTGAGTTTGGGTTTGAACAATTCGTAAAAAAAAAAAAAAACTAATTAAGACATGCGTGTCCGTCAACCTTAAACAATAATCTTTGTCAATTTTATTTTTCAGTCTTTATGATGGTCGATACTTGATCTATCTCTTACTGTTACATCCCCAGGCAACGCCGGGCTCTACTGCTAGTAATAAATAAAAATGGGGCGTCTATTTAAAATACGAAGTGTCCACTATCATAATACTTAAAATAATGAAGATGTCAGATTAATATTAAATCTGTTAATTTGTTATGATGAGCCTTATTTGACTCCTGTTCTTGATTAATAAAATATACATATATACATCATAACATCAAATTGAGATGTTTATGCATATATAGAGAGATTTATTATCAGGAGGATTTGCATGTACTAGTTCAGTAGATATATGAAAGTTCTTGTAATATGGTTGTTAATAAATGTTTCTGTTTTTGCGTTTGGTGTGGGGAATGAATGCATTATTTGCAAGTGATACGTCTATCGTAAAAAGGTAATATTAAACATGAGAAAGAGAAATTTTATTAAAAGCTACAAAGGAGAAAGCAATATTTGTGTAAAAGTTATGTGTGGTCTTCATTCCTGGGGCCGCTTAAATCCACGTGCTCTTTTGGTGAGAGGTCGCTGAAAAGAGAATGACTCTAAATTTCCTGCCAGTAGGACATTTTCCTTTTTCCCTAGGGAATCATGGGAAATTATTTTTTGTTTTTTATTCTTCCTGATCGTGAGATGATTACAAATTCTTTAAAAATTGCTTTATTTACATTTCCGATACGAAACAGAGCAAATATGAAGCTTTCGGGAAAATAGTCTAGGTGAGGTGGATGTACTTTCCTTAAAAAAGGAAAAACAAGCTTAATTGATGTGATGTTCTTCATGGCCGAGCGGTAAAGCACAGTCGATCAAACGGTGGTTTCCCCTACATGCATGTTCGATCTCTGCCGGGGATAATACACGCTGATTAATAATAAATAAAAACGGGACACCAATTTCAAATACAAAGTCTCAACTATAACGTTATAATAACTTTTAAAGTAATAAAAATATTGTAAAATAAAAGATATATATATAATATATATATATATATATATATATATATATATATATATATATATATATATATATATATATATATATATGCGGGGTAAATACCGTGTATGCCTATATTTATGGATAGAAGTAACTCACTAAGTTCCTTTTTCTGCAGTCGACGTAGTTAGGTGTTTAGACAAGTATTTTAACTCACTTGCGTTGATCTCTCTGCATGGCGTGAATGTCTGAATGAGAAGGCTTTCTTCGGCGTGGTATAAGTGAATACAGCGTGTGCACTCCTGTGTTCGCTTCCTGTAGGAACCCCCGATTGGATTTTGGTGAGTTCTTTTATAGGCCAGAGATAGGCTTCAAATGAAAGAATTTAATGTTTTGTCGTGTTTCTATTAGTTGAGGAGATAACGTGGTGTGCATACTTCTACGTCAGCGCGAGGTGATACTAAATCTGCTTTTACGTGTCTATTTTTAGACTTGAAGAAAGGGTAATTGTGGAGGGAATTTGAAAATGTATTTTAACAGAGGACGGAAAAGCGCATTGGAATAGTGAAAGATGCCTCCCAAAACTATAAAAAAAAGTATTAAGAATAAAGAAAATTTTGTTAGAAACAAAAAAGAAAAAGAGTACTGAACTGTTATATAATATCATTCCTTCTATGTTACAATGAATGCTGGACAATCTCCTCACAGATGAAGAAGAGACTGGAAGAGAACAAGCGCTACAGCAGGTCGTTTCCAAACTTCTGGCAGAATGAATTGCGTTATGGTGATCTATTTTCACAGGTGGTGCCCAACACTGACCCTACTTTACTGCGCAGTAGACAAAATCAAACACAAACAACAGGCATGCGCGAAATTAAAAGATAAAATGGCGACAATTTACCGATCGCACCTTTTTTGTGTATGTGTGAGTGTGTATGTGCTCATATATATATATATATATATATATATATATATATATATATATATATATATATATATATATATATACATATATATATATATATATATATATATATATATATATTATTGAAGTCTCAATGGCCAAAAACATGATAACAACAGCAGACATTCAGACAATAGTTTCGATACCTATGATATTTATATTTATTTTACAATGTACTATTTTTTTAACTTTGTCTTTTAACCTTTCAGATTTAAGTTTTTTGTCTATCTTAAAATATTTTGTGAACTTCATTTTGTGACATAGCTTTCATCCCGACATTAATATTCGATTTATCGTGCACTATCTACTTGATTTGTTTCTATAATGTCTTTTTAGCCTGACCTGAAATAAAGCAACAGTTGATCGTCCTGGGTATGACGATAAACTGCATCTGCATCCTGGGTAAGACGATAAATTACGTCCGAATGACAACAAGGCCTCTGATCAGGAGGTTTTGAGGAGCGTGGAACCACCTCTTAATTGCTGGTGTTCCCAGGTTCACCTTGACCCGGAGTGGTAGCACCTGTTAGGGTCCCAGCTATGGGCAAACAACTAACACTCTAAGCTCAGGTCAAAGCACTATGAAAGCGTAAAAATACGTTTTAAGAACTAATTTATCAAAAATTATTACCAGCAATAATTTTTGAAGAAAAATTTATTTCCCGCAACACATTTAAAAAAAAAATTATCAGCAATACATTTTGGAAAAAACATATTACCAGCAATACATTTTTGAAAAATATATTACAAGCAATAAAATTTTGAAGGCATTAAATAACCCATTGAGGTTGATATGCTGTAAAAAAAAAAACCCAAAACAGGCCAAACCAAATTAGAGACCGTACTACAATAATTTGTATTATAGAGGGTTATAATCATTGTCCCTGATGTTTTTAAAGGGGAATAACTCCTTCAAACACTTACAGGATTTATTGTTCTTGGCCGGCTTCATTCACTGCGGACTTAATGTTTGTAAAGATAACATGGCGTGTAACGGTAACACGCGACCTTACGAAAGTAACACAACAATCCAGGAACAGGATGCTAATTCGGCCTTAACTGAACTTGACAAAGGTGATAATGCTTTAATTTAATGTCGCTTTGTTAGTTTAATTGAATCAAAGTGATTTGTTTTTTTTTCATCAGTGAAACGACCATTAACAGCAAGTTAAGCATGGGGTTTTTGTATATTTTTTAGTTTAGTGGGTCACTAATTTTCACTTTCTAAAAATATTTTGAATTAAAAAATAAGGGATTTAGTCTAAATCCCTTGAAGTATAGAAATATATTACTTATCTAAATGACTTAGATAAGTAATATATTTCTATACTTCAATATAAACTTAAATTACGTCTTTTGCTGTGGTTCAAGTATTTTTCATTTTTAATTTAAGATTTCAATAATTTTTTTTAAATCTGCATATATTTTCTATATTTGTTTTTATTTTTACTTTAAACATTGGTATAATAAAAATAAAATTATTTCCTTTATGAGTGAAGTACTTAAAAATAAACTGTAATAATAATAATAATAATAAAAAGAAAAGTACATTTTTCCTCACCGGTACCACAACTTCATGCGCAACGCAATCGTCAGGTTCTGATGGGAAACCGTTTTCAACTTTTCATTTTCAATCAGCACCTGAAGATTACAACTACGTTGTGCATGAAACTCAGACTTATTGATAAGAAAATAATGTATATTTATTTATTATTAATATAACTTATATAGCTCTGTTGTACGTCGAGCACTAGCACCAGCACTCAATGGGTGATAAAAACCCGATCGGATAATATGATGAAAAGTTCCCGGTCAGTCTGATTTTCCCAAATCCGTTTTTCTGTTGTTTGGTCATTTAAAATGCTTATTTTGGTGGAATGTTGTTAGACACACCCCACTAAAAATTTAATTCAAGTGCATTTGTGACAGTATTATTTTAAAACCAAGTATAGTAAGATATTTAAAATGTGTATTGCAGTGATATATATTTAAAATAAAAATAAAAAAGTGTCTCTATTCTCCCAAACATTATTAGCCTTGAACTTAAAAAAAACAAACTTTCATATGTTTAGGTTTTATTAAAATTCTAATCATTGCTTTTTAAAACAGTAAATATTGTCGAGGAGTGAAGGTAGTTAAAATAATAGCAGTGTCAAGGGAAAATAGCAACAACAAAGATGAGGACATTAGTCCAAATGTAAATAATGTAAATAATGATAATGCCTCATCTTAGAAATTTAGACACAAAATTATTTGTGTTAAATATTTTAAATTTCAGTATTGAAATGAAAATTTAAAATCTTTTCTAGTTTTATTTGGAAAAAAAATTCTGTTCATTTAATTTGGTGACATAGTAATTGTGAGTTCAATCCCTGTGCTGGGCAGTGTTTTTACTTGGACTCTGTGGAAATGAGCAGTACAAGAAAAATAAGAACTAGACATAATATCCTTAGACATGGGCAGTGGAATGTGAACAGTCAATCCCTGTAGATTAAATAATGAATTCAGTTTGGAATTACCTGTAGGTTACCCAGATTGGTATACACCTGATGAAGGTCAGAGGGCACAATGGCCAAAACGTTGTGATAACAACAACAAAAAAATGAGGACAATATGTAAATAGTGCAAATAATGATAACTCTTCATCTTAGAAATTCAGACAGAAATTTATTGGTGTTTTATATTCAAAGGTATGTGCGTTGAAACAAGCCTAGTTGTGAAAAATAACATTTTCTTTTGCTTATTTTAAATATTTCAGGCCTCAGATCTCAAAAACTTGGTGATCAATGTGAAGCTGTTGTGAGGTTTCCTCGTCTTTTTGAGAAATATCCTTTCCCTATTCTTATAAATTCTGCTGTCTTGAAACTTGCAGAAGTCTTTCGAGCTGGGTAAGATACATCGATTTTGTTTTTTCCTTTTTCTTTCTCTTTGCTATCCTCATTAAAAAGTAAGATTTTTTAATTTGTTTTTTTTTTATAGGTTATCAACCTTTTGCAGGTTATTTAAAGTCGGAAAATATTTTTGGTTTGTAAGAATTTTTTGGAGTTAATAATGATTTATTGATACAAGTCCTACTAATTAACCCATAACAGGGAGAAGTAGATTAACATTATTCCCTAGACTATTTGTGCATAAGTGAATATAATGAACCTGAGTGGAATTGAAACTGGGTTTTCTGATTTCCAATTCTGAGTTGTTATACATTACACCACCTGCACATCCAAATAGTGATAGAGTAGCAATAGGCTTGCAAGGTAGCCATTGTGGGAAAGAGGCTGAAGTAAGAATTTTTGGGAAATAATAATGATTTACTGATACAAGTCCCACTAATTAACCCATAGCTGGGGGTAGAGGAAGTGGATTTATACCTTTTCCAAAGATATTTGCACATAAGTGAATATAATGAACCCAACTGGTATTGGCTCTCCATTCATTAAATATTATTTTGTCTTTTCAGGAGTAATTTTATTCGATTATGTATTTTACGAGTGACCCAGCAGGCAGAGAAGCACCTGGACAAAGTTTTGAATGTAGATGACTTCATCCGTCGGATATTTTCTGTTATGCACAGCAATGACCCTATTGCTAGAGCTATAACTTTAAGGTAGAATTTATTTTTCTGAAGACATTGAAAGTATCTTATGAAAAAAATTTTTCTTTTTTTCCTTTTTATGCTTTTTTCCTTTCTTTTCTTTTTTCCTTTCTTTTTTTCTTCTCTTTTCTTTTACTTTTACTTTTGACATTTTTTTACTTTTTTTTACTTTTGCCTTTTTCCTTTTTTTTTTCTTTTTTGCTTTTTTTTTTTCTTTTCTTTTTTTTCTTTCTTTTTTTCTTTTCTTTTTTTTCTTTCTTTCTTTTTTTTTCTTTTCTTTTTTTTTTTTTTTTTTCTTTTTCTTTTCTTTTTTCTTTCTTTTCTTTTTTTCTTTTTTTTTTTTTTCTTTTCTTTTTTTTTTCTCTTTTCTTTTTCTTTTTTTTTTTACTTTTCTTTTTTTCTTCTCTTTTTTTCTTCTCTTTTCTTTTTTCTTTTCTTTTTTCTTCTCTTTTCTTTTTTCTTTTCTTTTTTCTTCTCTTTTCTTTTTTCTTTTCTTCTTTTTTTTCTTTTCTTTTTTCTTTTCTTTTCTTTTTTCTTCTCTTTTTTCTTTTTCTCTTTTTTTTTTTTTTTCTTCTCTTTTCTTTTTCTTTTCTTTTTCTTCTCTTTTCTTCTCTTTTTTTCTTCTCTTTTTCTTTTTTTCTTTTCTTCTTTTTTTTTCTCTTTTCTTTTCTTTCTTTTCTTTTCTCTTTTTTCTTCTCTTTTTTCTTCTCTTTTTTTTTCTTCTCTTTTCTTTTTCTTTTCTTTTCTTTTTTTTCTTTTCTTTTCTTTTTTTTCTTTTCTTTTTCTCTTTTTCTTTTTTCTTCTTTTTTTTTTTTTTCTTCTCTTTCTCTTTTTCTTTTTTCTTTTACTTTTATCCTTTTTTTCTTTTACTTTTTCCTTTTGCTTTTTTGTTTGACTTTTTCTTTTTTTACTTTTTCCTCTTTTTATTTCAGAAGGTAATTCAAACAAATTTGAAATAATTACATGAAACTATTTTGTATTTTTAGTAATTTTGTGAAAGAAAAAAAATTCACATTATAGTTTAACACAAACTATAATATGAATTTTTTGTCTCACAAATTACTTTTTTTTATTAATAAAGTCATACAAAATAACATATTGACCAAAATATTTTGAAAACAAAACTCCAAACACTTTAGTTTCATATCATCCTCATATAAGTTTAAACTGATGTCTTTTTTTTCTCATATATTAGCATTCAACATGCTCAAACCCACCTCATAAATATCAGCTCTCAAAGTCTTACTATTAGTAGTGAAAGTCTCATTGTTTGCATGACTTCCTGTGTTATTTGCGATGATGTTGTCATATGTTATAGCAGAGTATATATAGGACAAGTTACAGCAGGTTGAACATTGAGAGTCAATATTTATGGGGTGGATTTGGGCATGTTGAATGCTAAAGGATTAAGCTCGTATTTTCTTGATTTTAAATGAAAACTTGGAAATATTCCAACATATTTCATTGAAATTTTCACTTTACAAAATTATTTATGTTTACATATATAGAAAAAAGGAATTGTTGGTTGAAACTGATAGCAGATAGATCTCAGTTAAAAAATGAAAGAAACATAAATGATTGCTTCATATTCTCTTGGTATCAGTTTAACCTGACACTTTTTTGTTCATATATTTTGCTTCAATTTTGTATCTTCTTGATCTCAGATGAAAACTTGGGAAATTTTCCAATATATTTCAGTGAAATTTTCACTTTCTAAAATTATAGGTTGTAAAAATGGAAAAAAAAGACATTAGACAGCAGGAGGATAAAAGGATTAAAGATGGAAGCCAAAGGGATATAGATTAATAATTTTTAATAAATTTTTTTTTTTTTTTTTTAAGTAATTAAATAATTTTTTAAAATCAGCCACATCATTTAGCTTGGAATAAAAGTATGCACCATCTTTTAAGTGAATTTCAAAGGCAATATTTAGATATTTGAACATAGATTTATTCAACCACGTATATGCTATTTTGTTCCACTATCATTTGCCATCTTTAAAGCAACTTTATGATTCCGTCCTCCTAGAAACTGGCATCTTTTTGGGTAATGATCTGATCTAAGTGGTTTTATTCTACACATGGCATCACTTATAAAATACACACATGCTTGAATTTGCTATGGTGCAGCCAACATAATCTTGTCAGACTTACTGACAAAATTTTATAATGACCAAGACTGTCAAAAGTACTTGAACATAAATGTGAACTTTGGACAGTTTATCAAGAATTTTGATTTGATTGTACAATAACTTATTCAAAAATTAGGAAAACAGTAAAAAGTTTGTTGTAATGTCTTTGTTTAAAATAGCTGAGAATTAGAAAGAGCATAGTTAGAGAGAGTATCAAAGGAACAGAAGATAAGGTAGGGAAAACAGACAAGAATAATGGTCACAACAAAGATCAAAACGTTATTTTTGAATGTAAATAATAGAATGATGAAGTTTGGAGGAAAGAAGAAAAAGATGACAGAATAAAATTATATTAAAAATAATTCTGTTTTTAGTTATTAAGCTGAACGAACATTTTGTGTCTCCCAATATACTAAACCTGTACAAATGATGGTTAGACATTGGATGCAGAACAAAAATACAATAGATGTGAATAACTGTGGATATTCCCACTGGAGAGTGATTATTCAGAATATTGTTGTCATCAAGGGGCATTGAATCCAAGGAAGGATCAGATGGATATTGCCTGAAGAAGGCCAGATCATACAACAGCTGAAGCGTTGTGAATATGACAAGAAAAATAGGGACAACAGTTTTCCGAACAAGGCAAATAGTGTCAATAATCTATTTTTATTTTCGATGTTCCCCTTTTCTCTTTATTATTGTACCTCTTTTCTTTATTATTGTACCTCTTTTTCTTCCTTTGAATCTCTCATGATACAAATATGTTGTAATGTTACCTTTGTTCAAAATCACCAAGAATTAGGAAGGCTGTAGTTAGAAAGAGTATCAAAGGAACATAAGACTAGGTAGAAGAAACAAAGAAGAAGAGGTTTATTAAATAATCTTACATAGAATGAAAAAAAAATCAAGAATTACTCAAAATCCTACTCTAATTTGGATACTTACTATATTTATAAGTAGGAGCAGTCCATTGTCACAGTAGTAGGGAAGAGCAGGAAGTATGCCGAGTCCTACTCTATAACAAAATTAAACAGACCTTGTTGGTTGTTTTAATAAAACTTGTTTAAATATATAGGCTAGCTAAAAAGTTATGCCACCATTGAAAAAGAGAATAATCTTTGTACTTAATAAATGACATTTTGTTTCTGTATTTGACAAATATATCATTTGGAAATTTCATTAGTTTAATTCTGGAATATGATATCATGAAAATATCCTCTATTTGCTACTTTACAAATGCACATTCTTTTCTGATGGCAGCATAACTTTAGGATGTAATATCTGACCAATTCACTATACTGTTTACGGCCATAGCATGTTGAAACACCAGTTCTTGTCCTACTACTGAAGTTAAGCAACTTTGAGCCTGATCAGTACTCAGATTGGTGACTGCTGAGGAATATCAGGTGATGTAATCTATGCAGCAAGCCTAGTAAGCTGGTGACAACAGTAGACCTTGATATGTGGAGGTGCTTCTGGACTGTGTAGTCGCATGACACCCCTGGGGTTCAGTGCAGGATGACGCATCATTGCCAACTCAGCTCTGTGACAACTCACTGCCAGCCTACTCAACACAAGGACAACTCAATGACATGCAAACTATGAAATTTTTTTTATCAATGTTTTAAAAGCAAATAAAAGTAATTTATTAAGAATCATTTTTTAATACCTGACTTTATTTTTAATTTTAAAATTCATTAAAAATTCTATGCAAATATTTGGTTGAGATTGTTGTGAAAAAGAAAAAACAATCTGCAAAATTCTTTCATCTGCCTTCATATATGTTGTAGCATACCCACGGACGATAATGGGTATGCCCCCATTTCCATCAATACAGTAGTGAATACTGTATGTGTTGGTCTGTGGTCTTCAGTTGGAGATTTGTCTTCAGCTGGGTTGGTTAAGCTCTCTGCCTCAAGCAGAGAGGATCCCCAGACAAGGCTATGTTGAAGAGCAGAGTCTTGTCTTGGGGAAACACCTACCTGACTCCATTTTATGCTGGGAACTTTTGGCTGAGCCTACGGGTTCAGAAACCCCATATTAAATTTGGCCTTGTGCCACATCTGACTGTGTAGGGCAGTTTGTAGATACCGTCTACAGTTGGAGATTCATTGTGGAATTCACTTGGCTGACTTCTAGCAGTTGACGATGACATCTACGTGTCACTGGTGAATCTTATGTGTTGTTCTTGTCCTAAGTATTATCGTTTATTACCAACCTTCATGTGATTATTCTATTCAGTAACCTTCCCTAGGTTACAACAATATACTTCAATCTAAGGGGAGGGGAATGACCCCCAAATTAATTACTTGAAAAATGCATCTCGGTTTCTTTGCACCTTTTGCAACCTTGTAATGAATCTCCATATTGTGGGGTACTCCATCCCCAGCTCTGTGTGCAGTCTCCTATTTACTGCTTCAGCATGGTTATTTGTACACTCTTAAAAATGAAATACCATTCAGCCAAATAGGCTGTTATAATTAATAAATCCCTAAGACAAAGAGCCAAAGTTTCAAAATCTCTACAAATCAAACCCGATCTAAGAGATGTGCACACTATGACAACCAAAATTGGTCTGAAGCTATGAATTCAATGCCAGCATTTAGTTGTCTTTGTGCTTAGTAGACTGGTGGTAAGTTTTCCTGAAGTTGAGATGTCATGGAGATAAGTTAGCCAGTATGATGTAATATCCCCTCTCACCTGGGGTTGGCTGGGTGAGTGAGTGTTCTCTATACTACATTTTTAAAATCTGTACAAATATGTTTTTTTCAGGACTCTGGGTAGCATCGCACCCATCATTGCCGAGCGGAAGAATGTGCATCATAGCATTGTCGTCAGTTTGGATTCCCATGATGCAATTGAAGTGGATGCTGCTGTTTATGCTGCAGAGCGTTTTGCTGCACGTTCAAAGTAAGACTGATAGGATTAGTCGTCTTTTTTTTTTTTTTTTTTTTTTGGCTTTTTACTTTCTTGCTCTCACTCTCTCTCCCCTCCTTATCATTCTCCCTCTCCCTCCTTTCCTCTCCTCCTCCTTATTATTCTCTCTCTCTCAACCTTTCTCCTCTTCCCTCTTCTCTCTCTCTCTTCTCCAGCTCCCTCTACAACCCTGTATTTTTTTTTTTTTTTTTTTTTTTTACAGCATATTTTTACTTTTCAAAGCAGTCTTAATTTTCTATCCTCCTTTTTGAGAAAAAAACAAACAAATATTTTATGTTCTTCTATGTGCCGTGTCACTTCAGGATATAGATAATCATGGTTCTCCACAACTTTCTATTCTTTGTAGCTATTAGTAAGCTTTGTCGTTTCCCTATCTTTCCCGCTCCTTGTTCTGTCATCCATTTACACAGTTTTGTTAGGTAAGTTACTCCTTGTTTCTCTTTTGCGTTCAATATGTCCTGTGAGTGTCAGATTCTCCAAGCCCTCTTTCTTAGAAATTTGTGTCGTTTTGTTTCCATTTTCTTTAAAACTTTGTTATTGCCCACATGTTCAATCCATGATATCCTCAGTAGAGCCACATTTATGTTGCTTCAAGTCTCTTTTCATGTTCATAACAGTTTTTGGAACATTTGCACATACCTAATACATTATACATTCATTGTGTCTTCAGTGATTTCCAAACTGACAGTTCCCATATGATCCCTGTAGTTAAGCAACATTGATCCTGGTCAGTACTTAGATGGGTGACCACTTGGGAATACTAGGTGCTGTAATCTTGGATGTGCGGATGATGTAATGGATAATGTTTTGGAATTCTTAATTGGAGAGCCGAGTTCCAATTTCTGTTAGGTTTGTTTTGTGATGTATGGTGGCCGTTAATAATTAAGTATAACTCAAGACTTCAATGTTAAAGATAAAACAATATTTAATTACAACCACAAATAAATACTTAACAAGAAGTAAAAGTCAACCAAAGATAATTAACCATTTGTGAATACCTTGTTAGTAGTGCGGCTCAGCTTAATGTCCAGTAAATCCTAAATCAAAACCCAAATCATTGATGCAAAATAATTCACACTAATTTGACTGGATAGTTCCCCCTCAATAGTCACCCAGTGATCACTGTAAATAAGCCTGACACCGCTATTTATACACCTGGCGGAAAGCATATATTCATAAGTCCAGAGTGCCATGCTCAAACCTCAGTGTCAGTAGTTACTATATGACAGTTTGTTATATTCACTTATGTGCAAATACCCCTGGGAAAGGTATGAATCCACCTCTTCTCCTCCCAGCTATGGGTTAATTAGTAAGACTTGTATCACTAAACTATTATTATCTCAAAAAATAAAGAATTCTTACAATCTAAAAAAAAATATTTTCCAGCTTTATATAACCTGCAATAGGTTGATAAATCATAAAAAATGAATCAATCCATATAGAAACTAAACTATGACCTATGTGCCTAATCTAGCAATGGAAATGATTGTTTGTAATTATCATAATACTCATGGAGGTTGGGTGGTAAAGAATGTTTCTTTATACAGTTATTTAGAATCTACACTTGGTTCTTGATATTGTGATTTTTTATGTGTAGCTCAGATGTGGCACAAGGCTGAAAGTATGGGGTACCCAGTGAGGATCAAACTCACTACTCAGTGGTAATTGTTCTAGCAAGACAAGCTAACCATTGCACCACGTCGAAGTACCTATTGGTTCTTGGTATGTGGGTATGGTAACTACTTCAGAGTTTCATGTTCCTGCTGTGCATAGTTCATTACTCTTTACCCATCAAACATCTGGGTTAACCTTAACCATTGGGCTAAGTATACAGGAGTAACTCTCTAATGGAAAACCAATTCTGAACATCTTAGCACATGTAGTTTCCAATCAATCAAGTTACTGGACTTTGACAAGGTAGTGAAATAACCATCACTTCTTCCATGTTCTAAAGGTAGGAAGAAAGTTCCACTCGGACAGCTTTTGTCCAAGACCTACCCCTTTGGACAGACTCCCACGTGGATGCTTCCCTGAACACTACAATCTTAACTGCTTGAAGTCATTCACTTCCTACTACTTCCTCTTACATTTATATAATCTGACTTGTTCATTTTAACTAGTCCTCTACCTTGAGTAGCTCTTGAGCCTTGTATTGAGGGAATTTTGGTATTAAGAAAAATCTATTAGTCATCCCTTTTTTTTTCTTTCTTGTTATCATACTTTAGCCCAAGAATGGTGAGCTTCTTAAATGTAGAAGGAAAAAACCTTCCCAGTCTTTTGAACAGGAGAAGAGGTTTATCCCTTGCTTCCTGTTTTGGGTTACTGGTTCCTTCTAAAGTCTACCTCAACTCTAAAATTTTATTTACTACTTATTTATTTCCTCAATAGTAATAGATAGGTTCACCTATCATTCAGTTCCCATTCCTTTCTGGTCTTTTGAACAAGAAAGAAGTTTATTCCTTGCTTCCTGTTTAGGACTGGGTTTCCGGTTCCTTCTAAAGTCTTCTCTTTTCTCTTTTACTCTCTGTTGTGACTTGAGTTTTAGTGGCATTATTGCCTTGCTTGGGTTGAACTGATTAGAAAAGAAATCCTTTCAATTGAATGTTTATACAGGCTGACCTTTAACTCAATATACTATTACCAAATACAAGAAATGTAACACTCACTTTTTTGGCAAATTTCTCATAAGCTGACAAAGGAGATAAAATTTGTGTGCAAAGCTGTTAAATTTTTCAACTTCTTCGCTGGAGCATTTTCAACTCCTTTTTTCTATTCATTCAAATCTCATATAAATAAATGTGAATGTCAGTGTGTCACACCTTTTCAACTTTACTCCTAGAGACGATAGCCCAACATATCATACCATTTTGGAATCAGGGTGACTCTGTGAGTAAATTAAAAAAAATTCTGGGCCAGATCCAGACATGCAATCTTGAAATTTTTGATTTTCAAGTTTTCATTACTTTATGAATTTTAAATATCTCATATTCTTCTGTATAATAAATGCAAATATCAGTGTGTCACACTTTTTCAATTCTACTCCTAGAGGCTGTAGCCCAACATATTTTGAAATCAGGCCAATTCTGTGGACAAATTAAAAACCATCCAATGATATTTTTTTTTATGATTTTTCATGACAAATTTTTTTGTACAATTTTTATAACTTGGAAATAATTTGGGGAATAATTTAAATTAATTGCGAAATCCAGCGAAAGTCACCCATGAAATAAAAATAATTGCTTGTACAGAAAGTAAGGACATACATACATTAAATAAATTGTCTTTAAATTAAGTGGCAGCAGAAGAATTATTGTTGAACTTTTAAAAGGTAAGGTTAAATATTAATGTAATACTTAAATGCAGCAAGCAATTCTGAGTTCTTCTGTAGTTCATTGTTGCCTATTGCATATGGCAACAATATGTTGTGCAAAAAGAAATCTCTTTCAATGGAGGACCAGATTGCAATCAAAAGAACTGCTGCAAGGCTGCTGCAAGAAAAAGAAAGTCACATATTAATGAAAACTCAAATCAAAAGGCAGCCAGGAAATTTTCCAATACTGAGAATATGCAAAAACTCAGGGACTGTCAGACTCCTGAACAAGCCAAAGATCCAATCAAGAGCTCTCCACAGTAGCTAGTTTAAATGCCACCTGATAGGACAGCTTTTAAGCTAATAACAAATAAAAGAATTATCTGATTTTTGTTGGCATATATTTTCAAATAAGTGTGATTATTTATTATTATCTTATAACTGCAAACATGTTGCACTCTAGTGCTATTCAGCCTCTTGCCTTACTATTCAAATATTAAAAAAGTGTTGTTTGGACATTGTTTAAGTCACTAGTCTTACTTAGGACTCCATCAACTTTGCATTCTTTATTTTGTAGCCACTTTATTTTGATTTTTTGTGCATTCTACAGGACATTTTCTGCTAGCATTTGTGATCGCATTGCTGAGATGATTGAGAGAGTGGAATCTCCTGTAGACCTCAAACTAAAGTTAATTCCCATATTACAACATATGCATCATGATGCTGCTACAGCAACAAAGGTAGACATTTTTATTATTTTTTTTTTTTTAATGTCTTTATTTATCATTCAAGTTTATCCTTGTCAAATTTCGAAAGGAATGTCAGGGGGAAAATTGCAGATTTTTGTTTCCATTTTCTTACAAGAAGAAAATGTTTGTTTTGTGTTTTCTTTTTTATCAAAATCTTTTAGTCTTCCAGTTATATTTATTTCTTTTTTTCCTTTTTAATGAATTTGATCATTTGTCCTTTTTTCCACTTTGTCCATTTTTTTTAATTTGCCCCCCTTATCCTTTTTTTAATTTTCCTTTATGTCCATTTCTTCTTTTTTTAATTTGCCCCATTGTCCTGTTATTTTATTTTTTTTTTACCCCCGTTTTGCTCCCATTGCCCTTTTATTTTTTTAAATTGTTCCTTTCTCCTTTTCTTTTTTCAGTTTGCCCCTTTATCCTTTTCTTTTTTTAATTTGTGCCTCTGTCTTTTTCTTTTTTTAATTGCCCCTTTTCCATTTTTCATTTTTAATTTGTCTCTTTGTCCTTTTCTTTTTTAATTTGCCCCTTTGCCTTTTTCTTTTTTAATTTGCCCCTTTGCCTTTTTCTTTTTTAATTTGCCCCTTTGTCCTTTTCTTTTTTTTTAATTTGCCCCTTTGCTTGTTTTTTTTTAATTTTTCCTTTGTCCTTTTCTTCTTTTAATTTGCACTTTGCCCTCTTTTTTTAATTTGCCTAATTGTTCTTTTTTTATTCCTGTTGACATTAACATACAGATCCAAATCCTGTTATTTGACTTCTTTTAATCAAACCAAAATTTAATTCACATTTATTGTTTGTGCTTCTATCAATCAATCATTCTTAAATGAGCTGGCAGGTGGATAATAAATTGTCAGACATATTTTGTTGACTTGTTACTTATTTCATTTCACACTGTGATCTTCAATATCTGGTCTGACCTGGCATTGAAACTAGATTTGCATTTATAGACATAAAGAGTCCAGCCTAACCTACTATTTAACCCATATCTCAGCTGTAGTGGGGGTAGGGTGTATTCAGGCCTTTCCTAAAGGAATTATTGCAAAAGTGACAAAACAACAGACCAGGCCAGAATTTGAACTCTTGTTTGCTGATTCCACTTTCTGTGCCAACAACATTTACACTACTCAAATATCTTTCACATCCATTACTGCTGTTATGATTTTCCTTAATACTTTTCTGACCAATACAAAATTATTTACACCATTTAGATGCAGACTATTGTTCTTATCTTTGTTGTTTAATCACAATGTTTCGACCAATGTGCCCACTGGCCTTCATCAGGTGCATATCAATCCAGGTAACCTACAGGGAATTCTGAACTGAACTGTTTACTTAATTTGTGGGCTGTTCTATATGTTCCACTGCCCATGTCTAGGGGTATCTTGTCTATTGGAACAATAGTCTAGTGGACTAAAGCATTGGTTTGTAAATTTGGTGATATAGTAATTGTGAGTCCAATCCCTGGGTCAGTGGAAAACAGGACGAGCAATAACTGAACAGTACTAAAAATAAGTTCAAGACAAGATATTCACTGCTTTTTCTCTGTCTTTCCAGCCTTTTTGTGAGTGCCAAATTCTCCAAGACCCATTTCTTTATTACGTATTTCAAATTTCTCTTTCTGATTTTCAATGATTTTTTTTTTGTTTTCAATTTTTCATATAACTTCCCCATTATGAGGTATTTAAAATCACCCAACTCAAATTACCTTTGTTCTACTTTATTTAAAAACATTTGATATTCTCTGCATGAGTAGAAGTTGATTATAATTTTGTTGTTTTATTTTAGTTTAACAACAGGAAACCTCAGGGATTTTTTAATAAAATGCATTGACGCTTCTTGTATTTCACCTGCTTCTTTTTTTTTTCAGGCACGAGAAGTCTGTCTCCTTCTCCTTCAGAGTTACCCTGCAAGAAATTTTATCATGTTGACTTTGCACAGCATGTCTCAATTAGCTGCCTATGCTTTGCTGGATATTCCACATCAAGTGTCTTTGTTATTAAATTATTTGGAAAAGGACCCTCGTCAAGCAGTTAAGAAAACAGTTTTGAGGGATCTCCAGATGCTTGCCATCAAAGCTCCTCATTTGTGGACGGCTGAAAATATTGAGGTATTTCATAAACAATTTTTTTAAATGGGTTTACATGCACACACACACACACAATTTTCTTTTACCAAGTCATTGTGAATTTTGGAATTTTATCTTTGTTAGCATTTCAGTTGTTAGCTGTTGATCTTGAGGCAAAAATGTAAAAAAAAAACCCCAAAAAACAGGTAGATCAACTCCTTTATATCATACTGTACTGTACTTAAGGCAGATCAACACCTTTTTACAAGTTTCTGTATTACACTTAGATCAGATCAAACCATTTTTATATGTTACTGTATTGCACTTGTATTTCTGGGATGTGGAGTTATCATTATTTTCACATCACTTTTTATATGTTACCCAGTGCAGAGCAACCGCTTTTTATATGTTACCTAGAGCAGATCAACCCCTTTTTTTCTGTTACTGTAGGATGGATCAACCCTTTTTTATATGTTACTGTATTACACCTAGAATAGATCAACCCCCTTTTTATGTTACTGTAGGATTGATCAACCCCTTCTTATACGTTACTGAATTGCACCTAGTGTGGATAAATCTCTTTTTATATGTTACCGTATTATACTTGTGGATACACGGTGTAATGGACAGTTCAGAGTGAGAAATGAGAGAACTGAGTTTGAATTCCAGTTGAGTTCATTACATTTATGTGCAAATACCCTTCAGAAAAATATGACTATATCTCTTCTGCCTCCCCCCCCCCCAGTTATGTGTAGATGTGTTAGATGGACCCTAAAAATCTTGGCTGACAATCAGTCTAGAAGGAAAACTCTGAATTCAAATAGGGTTGGGCTCCATCAGACTATCATGCCCTAGACACACCAGTGTTGCTATGGCTGCAGTACATGTGGTGCCCGTAGGACCCTAATGTATATTTTGATATAAAATTTGTTTTCTTGTCTATTACATTCTTTTACATCAGCCCGAAGAGGGATGGGCTCCGTCAGGCTATCTTGCCCTAGATACACCACTGTTGCTATGGCTGCACTACATGTGGTGCCCTTATGGCCCTAATAGGTTATGGGACTAGTCATTGTGATCATATTGTACCTAAGGTGGATCATTAATAAAACAACAATATTTGGAATAAAACTAGATGCATCATAAAAAAAGAAATTGTTATTGCTTTCTATCTCTATCAGCCTGATGCAACCAGTTTTACTAGATGTCCCATGTCTAAATCCTCAGCCCCCTTTGAGACACAGGGGAGTTGTTTTTGACCAAGTGTGTGGGCTTGTTCATCAAGCAGAGTTGTCCACCAAAATCAAATTAACACAAATGGCCTCATCAAAGTCTCTTTGATTCACAGACATCTCCGCCACTGCCACCAGGGGAGAGTAAGGGGAATCTGGAGAGAGGATGATGATCAGATGCAAGCAGGTGCTGACAACAAGCTCTAATGCACACATACGTCTCCAGATTACACTTGACCTTTGCTTCAATTGTGGAAGATTAAGACAAGTAATTCTAATATTACCTTTCATGCATGGAGAACTTATCTAGTTAAAATTTACTACATTCCAGTTTATGAAAAATGATTTCAGATTATTAACAAAGTTGTGTGTCGTACCATATTTCAGTATTTTAAGAGAGACTATGTTACTTTTCTTATTACTATCTGGAAATGATCATGTGTTGAAAAGTGTAGCATTGCAAAAATTATTTTCTATAAATACTTTCATGGTAATTGTTTGGCTGAGCTCTTCACAATGGTACCTAGACTTTTTGAATTTAGATGCAAAATTAGGCTGACATCTAGACCTCTCATCAATTTATAGTTGAGCTGGCAATGATGTAACTATAAATTCTATGCTAACAATTTCTTTTCTCACTTGTGGAACTCCCTTCCAGCTTCATGCTTTCCAGCAAACTTAAATCTTCAAAAATTTAAATGCAATGTCAATCGCTATCTACTGTCCTCCTGATTACTCTTTCCTCTTCCTGCTTGTTATTAATGTTTCTGTTCATAATTCTTCAATACCCTGTAACACCTTGTGTATTAGTGTCTGTACTGCCTTGCATGAGGGTAATACTGATTTAAAAAAACAAAAGTTTTTTCCAAGCAATTTGAATCCTTGAATCTGAGTAAGCTGAAATAATTATCCTGCAAACTATTTGACCCTGAATGCTCATTTAAAGAGGACATTAATTACACAATTAATGGATTAATTATAATGTTTAATCTCAGTTTTTTAGATGACATTTAATCTTAATATAGCCATATATGTTTATTTAATTCAGTTGTGTGGCTTTCTCTTTCAAAAATTTACTCTTGTATTCTTATCCGATATTACTAAACTAACATTAATGTCCAGCTACTTATTTCTGATCCTACCTGTCTGCTAGGCTGGCACATTTGTATTTGTTCAACACCCACAAAAGCTCACCTGTGGTTTATACGGCAGCTATGCCTTAGTTACAGTTTCTGGGTTAGAACACACACGCTGGATTGATCACAATTTTGAACAAGGCCAGTACGCTAAAACCCTCGGTCATGATGACTTGTGCCTTCATGCTAGCACAATCATTTACATTTTCTGAACAGTATTGTCTACACAATTTAAATTCACAATGTTTGGGTCAACCTGTAGTATGGTTTTCAGTCACTTTCCAACGGTGTTGCACGTTGGGACCATCTTGCCAAATTGACTGTGGTGAAATTCAAACCTGTGTCTCATGGTTGAGAAGGCAACATTCTAAACTCTTAATCCAAACGAACATTGCACTACCAGTAAACTATAAGATCACTGAAAAGAGCTCAAAAGTTGCTATCAAACATTTTATTACAACTGCTTTAAAACAAAGTTCTCTCCCTTACTTTGGTAATTTGGTAAGAAAATACTTAACATTTTTTCCTTTTTTTTTTTTTTTTTTTTTTTACAATAATGAATAATAAATCCTGTACAAAATCCAAGAGCCACTCAAAGTAGAGGGTTACAGAATAAGAGGCACAGTTTATGCTGATATGTGTGGAAGATAACAGTTAACTTGATTGTAGTGATTGGAGAAGCATTCTCTTGGTTAGCAGTTCATGGGAAGAAGCTGTTTGAGTGGAACTTAACATCTCACTAATGGAATACAAATGGAATGAGGGTGGTTCGTTACAATGTGTGTGCGACATAATGGGTCTTAGCTGTGTAGGTTAGAACTGGTAGAACTAAGGAATGTGGTTTGTCTGAACACTTTCCATGGAAATAGCAATAGAGTATACAAGAGGCTTGCCACATTTTGTCTGTCACCAAAGAGGTCCTAGGGTGAGAAATAATTTATCACCCACACGGCTGTGTAGACACATTTGGACTCTAAGCTTAGTCTGAAGCAAAAACGGTTTTCAAAAATAATACAAATACTGAAGTTAAAACATTAAATAAGACAGATGATTATTTTTTTTTTTTCCAGGTTTTATGCCGTTTTGTATTGGACACTCCATTTGTTAGTTTAAAAGAAGGTGTGCTTTATGTTCTTACTTCTTTGTCATCCTCCATTAGTATGTACCTATTACCAATTGCTTCTAAAGGTGAGTTCTGATCTTCTTTCACCCTTATAAATAACTTAACCATTATCATTCTGTTTGTGACTTTATTTACTGTACAAAAAGTTTATCCTGCCACTGAAGGTGAATCTTTTCCCTGAAGAATAATGTGTTTGAATTTCATGGTTGTGCTGTCATATCCTGCTATGGCAACAGAAAACAACTTTGAGTGAAATTAACAATAAGGATACTGCAATTGAGAGCCCTTGAAAAAAATTCAATGGAAAAGGAAGTAATATTAATAATGCAGAGTGCTAAAGGTTAATGAGACATTTATTTTTTTGCTTTAACTTACTAAGCAGGCATTGAACTTGAAACCTGAATAGCTTGATTCTCTGTTTCCTGTAATCTTACAATAATTTACCAATTTTTCTTTTTGTCTACCATAGAATGGATGTTAACATCTGTGGCTTCCAAATTATCTTTAGTTAATAATGAAACTCCAGAACCTGTGTGTGATTTTTTTTTTTTTTTTTTTAGTATATTAGTTTTTAAAATTCTAAGACAGTTTTATAATGTAAGCATAATAGTAATGGTGAAATTAGCCGTTTCCATACAAGGAAACATTCAGCATTCATTGACAGAACAGCTAGTTTTACTGTCAGTGGCATTATTTAAGTAGACTGGTTCGCTCGTAAAAAATCTAGTGTAGATAATTTCGGAATTAATTTTTGTAGATTAGCGTACTTTAGACATTCTTTAGGCTGTGACATTTGTCAAAATTGAAAAATATTCATTTTATTTTATTTTTATTTTTTTTTATTTTTATAAATTTAGAGGTGGGAAGCGGGGTATTGTTAATTAAAAATAAAGTATGTTGAGATAACTCTGTAAAAGTCAGTGATCGATTTTTACACTGTATCAATATAATGAACTAGAGCCCTCTTCTAAATTGATTAAAAAAAAAAAAAAAAAAAGTCAGTTTTTATAAAACAAAACTATTTTTTGATTCTGTTAAGTGTTACAGCCTCAGGTCTCAAAAATGCTGATCTGGAAAAATTCTCTCTCTCTCTCTCTTTTTTTCTCTCTCTCTCTCTCCACACACACACACCACCACCAAAATAAATTGTTATCTACCATATATACTTGAGTATAGTGTGCATTTTTATGAACATTTTTTTTTTTTTTTTTTTTTTTTTTTTTACACAAAAAATAGGAGGTTGCACTATACACAGGTAAATTTTTTTCTGGAGGGGTTAAAATTCATTCCCCAAAATTCAGAGGTCATACTATATTCATGAAGTTGGCTTATACATAAGTATATATGGTATTTCTTATAAGTGGACCAGTCTGTTTAAATAGTGCCTTGTCAGTTGAAATTTATAAAAATCTTTTTATTAAAACAGTTTTTCAGGAAATTAGATTTCTCAAGTTCACTCATTGTTATGGTTTTTCCTAATATTGATGGGAGTTTCCTTCCAAACCTTTTTTTTTTGGTAATGTGGAAAGTGAACAGCTTGATTATATAAATATTTTTCCTTTTAGTTATGTGCTACTCATTTTTGTTGTTACTCTAGTTGTAAATTTTCAAGTGTTTTTTGTTATTTGCTCTGCTGTAGAGGGGTAAGATCTTTTCTTTTTTTTCTTACAATAATGTCCAATCTGTACAACGCATAAGAGCCACTAATGGTAGAGGGTTACAGAGCAAGAGTTACAGTTTATGAAAATATGTAGAGAAGATACCAGTTAACCCTAGGTGGATGCTTGCAGACTCCTGCATGTGTCCAACCAATGTTTGCATATAAACCTGGGCACTGTTCCACACATGAACCCATGAACTGTGTTATGCAAAGGTTCTGGCACAAACCCAGGCACTGGTTTTCTCATAGACTTGCGCATGAACCCAAACGCTGTTTCATGCATTGATTTGGGCACAAACCTAAGCAATGTTTTACGCATGAACCCAGGCAGTGTTTTGTGCGTATGATTGTGCATAAATGTGGACACTGATTTGTTTATGTGTTCGTGCATGAACCCAGGCACTGTTTTGCACAGGAACCTGATCATTGTTACACAAATAGGCTTGGGCATGAACTATTTCACGTATATGCTCAGGATTAAACCTGGGCATTGTGCTTAAGATCAACCACAAAAAGCCACATTCTGGCTGGATGGATGCTTGCAAAATTATGCATGTGTCCAAACAGTGTTTGTGCAGAGGCTTGGGCATGAACCCAGGCATTATTTAATGAATCAGCTCAGGATTGAAACTGGGCAATGTTGGGGATTGAAACAAAAGGCCCAGGATTCAAACCGTAATATTAGTGTATAGGCCCAGGATTCAAACTGGGCAATGTTAGTATAGGCCCAGGATTGAAATCTGGGCAATGTTAGTATATAGGCCCAGGATTGAAACTGGGCAATGTTGGGTGCATAGGCCCAGGATTGAAACTGGGCAATGTTGGGTGCATAGGCCCAGGATTGAAACTGGGCAATGTTGGGTGCATAGGCCCAGGATTGAAACTGGGCAATGTTGGGTATAGGCCCAGGATTGAAACTGTGCACTGTTGGAGCACATAGGCCCAGGATTGAAACTGCACTGTTGAGCACATAGGCCCAGGATTGAAACCGGGCACTGTTGAGCACATAGGCCCAGGATTGAAACCGGGCACTGTTGGGTGCATAGGCCCAGGATTGAAACCGGGCACTGTTGGGTGCATAGGCCCAGGATTGAAACCGTGCAATGTTGGGTGCATAGGCCCAGGATTGAAACCGTGCACTGTTGAGCACATAGGCCCAGGATTGAAACCGTGCACTGTTGAGCACATAGGCCCAGGATTGAAACCGGGCACTGTTGAGCACATAGGCCCAGGATTGAAACCGGGCACTGTTGGGGCACATAGGCCCAGGATTGAAACCGGCACTGTTGAGCACATAGGCCCAGGATTGAAACCGGCACTGTTGAGCACATAGGCCCAGGATTGAAACCGGCACTGTTGAGCACATAGGGGCCCAGGATTGAAACCGGCACTGTTGAGCACATAGGCCCAGGATTGAAACCGGGCACTGTTGAGCACATAGGCCCAGGATTGAAACCGGGCACTGTTGAGCACATAGGCCCAGGATTGAAACCGGGCACTGTTGAGCACATAGGCCCAGGATTGAAACCGGGCACTGTTGAGCACATAGGCTAAGGCATCTCAAAGGGAAATGCTTAAATTAGTTTTGGGTGATGTGGTAATTTTTTTAAGTATAGCTTAGATGTGGCACAAGGCCAACAGTTTGGGGCTATGTGAGCAGGTAGTATTTCATTTCCTTCTTCTAAGAGCTAATTGTAAAGGATGCACTATAAGCAGATGTTTATTATTGTATCCAAATTTTTCTTTCCAGATTCACTGTTGGTCAAAGTGTGTAAGGAATATTGTTACCATGAAGACCTCTCCTTGGCCTCAAAGACTGTTGAACTGCTTACCCATTTGACCATCCATCCACTTCAAAGTAACTACTTATTTAATACATCTATTATTGATAGATTTTCTTATTAGTTTTGTGCACAAACCTGCTGTATTTTCTTGCTCAATCCACAATGACCTCCATGTTCCTGAAACTAAAAACAGGGAATAAATGACATCCTTGAGTATAATAAAATCCAAAGTACGTAAATCACTACGTAAATTTGTTTTTAAAGTTGTATCATTATTATCCATTAAAATCTCAGCGTCATACATTTATTTCACTATGATATTTAATTTTTCACAAAATAAAAAAATAGAAATGAACTGGATATTTAGCCATTGTGTGTTTTTTTTAATTTCTGTTTCAAGACTTGTAATATCTTGTAATAATTTACAATTTAAAATTACACATATCAGTGTACACTATTTATATAGCAATATAATTATGTCAGGGTTGTTTATGTATCTATTTTGTATTTTGTTTTTTCTTGAGTTGTTTGAAATTTACAAATTGGATACTTATGAAACTACAATCTCATGCTATGGGAACTATCATTGCACTGTTTTCCAAGCATAAAAATCTCCCCCCAAAAATACAATAGGCCTTTGTTGTAGCGTTTAATGTTATCAAAACATGATAGATCTTGTGCATTCTCTTTATCCATTGTTTTAATCAATATCAGTGAATTTCTTGTTTTTGAGACAAAAGATGGTCAATTACGCTGATTCCCAAAGAACAAATATTGCTTGTCATCTTTTGTAAAGAATTGTTTGCTGGGTTGTTTAATCGATATTAATACAGGGTTCATAAATTTTGTGTGCACTTTAAAAAATTTATAACTTTATTTGTATTTGTGATAGAAATAATCTGTAAAAAATACATTATTTACATTATTCGGACTTTTGTCCTCATTTTTGTCGCCATATTTATCTGATCATTCAGTATCTGTCTATATTTCTGAGATGAGGTATTATGTACACTATTTACATTATTTGGACTATTGTTCTCGTCTTTGTTGCCATATTTATCACAACGTTTCCTTAAGGACACATGGCACAAGGGATAAAGGCATTGGTTAGATCCAGTGACAGGACCCAAAGAGTGTGAGTTCAATACCCGGTTAAAACAGTGGAGAACTTTCAGAGGGAAATTAACAGGAGATAACTAATAACTGACATCCATTAAATATGGCACATGGAACTAGAACAGTGAGCGAAATAAGGGTTAAGTTCGACATTCCAATCACCTGAAGAAGGCCGGAGTGTACAACGGCCGAAACGTTGTAATAAATATGGCGACAAAGATGAAGACAATAGTCCAAATAATGTAAATAATGTACATAATACCTCATCTCAGAAATATAGACAGATTCTGTAAAAAATGTTATAAAGTTTAATGTACTTAGTTTTAAGTATAGCTAAAATAACTAATGTGATTTCAGGCATTACTGTAAATCAGTTGGCAAATGTTTTCCGTGAACTGCAAAATCGTATTACCCTTTGTATTGCTAATGATGGAGGACATGTGGAAACTGAAATAAAATTTCAATAAAACATTAAAAAATATAGATTTACTTCTTTCTAATCCTTTTTACAAATTATTTCTATTGCAAATACAAATAAAGTTATAAATTTTTTTAAAGTGTACACGAACTTTATGGACACCCTGTATATAAAAAAAAAAAAATATACAACTCCAGATTATATGAGCATATTTTGTTTTGTCTTTCAAATGGGGGGTCAATTTATAATGAATTTATATAGCAGGACACCCTATTAACTTATAAAATTTAATAAAAAAAGTTATGTTCATGATTGGATGTGCTTAATATTAATATGAAAAATAATTTTAAAAAAATATATTATTTCTGATTGCAGTGCTCATTATACAAGGTGCAACAGAAATACCTCCCACACAATGGTAGGACATTAGCTAGATGAAGACGCCATTGCCACTAATAACTTACCATTATGTGGGAGGTATTTATGTCACACCCTGTACAACACCATCAAATTTACAAATCTACTTTTCATGCATAATTAATCTTTTGTAATGTTAGAATGTTTTTAATATTGTTTTAGTGCAAAACATACAAAAAATTGTGATTATGCAAAATTGTAAATGCATAAGAGAACTTGAACCCCTACTGTTTTGCATAATTCCAAGTTATCCTGGGGTAGACACTAGCCTTTGTTTAGGATACCAAGCAGTTAAACCAAACATTTTGTATACTGAAACAAAAATCCTGATGTGTATTCAGAAAAAAAAAAATGAAAATTGAACAAGTGATAAAACTTTAGAATTTATTCAAAGATTTGTCTGAATTTTTTTTGTATTTCTTAGAAACATATTTTCATATAAAAAATGTATAATGATATATGAAACATATTTCTAAATCAAAAATATATCTTTATATATAAAACATTTCACACTTCATTTGAGTTGTTTGAACAGGAGTAGAGGGTTATCTCTTGTTCCCTGTTTAAGATTGGGTTTTTCAGTTCCTTCTAAAGTCTTTTCATTCTCTTTCACACCCAATAGTCCCTTGCATCTTAGTGGCATTATTGCCTTGCTTCGGGTGAACTGATTAAAAAAAATCCAAAATATATATTATATATAAAACATTTCTATATCAAGAATGTATATTCATGTATAGCCATTTGTATATCAAAAATGTAAATTTATGCATAAAACAAATTTGTGTATAAAAACATAGATTTCTATATTAACAATGTAAATTTGTATATAAAAACAAATTTATATATGAAAATCATGCGACATAAATCCAATAATAAGGAGTATCATTAACTTTTGTAATAAAAAAATTAAAAGAATGACCATTATACAAAAGACAGATAAAAACCTTGATCTTGTATATTTATTATTTTAAATCTTCCATTGCAAAAAAAAAAACTTTCATTGCATAAATAATAGAATTTCACTATTTAATTGAATTTGTAATATTTCAACAAATTAATGTAAAATTACAGACATTTTTTGCATTTTCAAACTTGTGATATTGCTCCTCATGCTTACACTGTTATAAATCTTGCTGGGAATACTGATATATATATATATATATATATATATATATATATTTGTGATGGATAAATTATGCTAAAATGAAAATGACACTGACATCTCATTTTGACAGATATATATTTAATAAAATTACACAAAAATATCTTGAAATACTAGAGAGTAAGTTTTTATTGAACAAAATCACCATTGGCTTCAACCACAGTCTCCAGATGATTTCGAAATCTCCTGAAACTCATCTGGACAGTCTCCATGTTTAAGTTGGTGAATACTGCCATAATCTTTGCCTTCAGTTCATATTTGGTATTACAAGAAGTTTTGTTGGTCTCTTGTTCAACTATGCCCCACACATAATAATGGTTGTAGTCTGGGGAATTAGGTGGTCAGATGTAAGGGGTGATATGGTTGCAGAAATTGTCTGACAGCCATGACTAGGTTCTCCTCCTTGTGTGGCATGATGTAGAGTCCTGTTGCTAGACATAGGGTTTTTCCCTCTTGACCCAAGGCAGAACTCTCTCCTCAAGGCACTTGATGTAGGCCTGCGTGTTGAGTCTGAGACCCTGTAGGAAGATAAATGGAGAAATAATGTCACCATAATTAGTGTTCACTACAAATATCATGATGTTGACTGGATATATCATCCAACTCTATGCAAATCCTCTGCACTGTCTTCAGATTGACACCTAAACACTCTGAAATGTTTGTATTCGAGCTTCCAGCATGAATGCCATGCAGTATAACATACCATTTCTAAATTTCTGGTTGAGTGAATTGCGTCATGGTGCTCTTTTTCTCACAGATGGTACCCAACTGACCCTACTGTAGTGTGCAGTCAACAAAATCAAAAACAAACAATACACATGCACAAAATTAAAAATATATAATGGCGACAATTTACCCATCGCACCCTGTATATATAAATTCAGATATAATTAAAAATATGCCTGTAAAAAGACAATATGATTAAAGAGAAAAGGAAAACTTTTCTTAGCTGACATGTTTTGTCTTCTGAGGGACTTTATCAAGGCAAATGTAAGGATTTTATTTTGCAACAAGTATTTATAAACAGAAGTAAAAAAAATTGTTAGTTTTTCAGAATTTTTATATTTAAGAAGGCTCCTAAATATACTCGTGGCTTACTGAAAGTTAAGGTAAATTATCGTAGATGCTAAGTGTTGGCTAAGATAAGTTTCCCTTTTGTCTTCATTCACTTTCATATGTGTATTTTGGCAGAAATCCCTCTTTTCTACAAGTTTCATTAAAGATGATTGACAAGGTACTGCGATTAAACTTTTTATTTAATTTTTCTTGTTTGTCCAAGTGTTTTCATTTCTGGACACAAAGTTTGTAAAAACTGTCCAAACGTTTTGCATATCTGAGTATTGTCTTTTCCTTTTTTATTATTAGTGTTTCCATTATTCTAAGTCTTTTTTTTTTTTACATGTGGATGAGGCAATTATACTTTTATTTTCTACAAGTATGTTGTGAATGGAGTTTGGTAGGCTTTTGTGGGTATCTAAATAAGTCTTAATTGAGCTATGATTGGGTAAGTTTAAAGTGAGTCATGTAGATAGGTATGTAGTAGTACAAACACAAGAAAAATAAAAAGCTTAATCACAGTACCTTTTCAATCCTATCTCTCTCTGTCTCTCTCTTTATATATATATATATATATATATATATATATATATATATATAAAAAAAAAAATAACATTTCAGCTGTTGTATGCTCCGGCCTTCTTCAGGTGGTTGGAATGTCGAACTGAACTCCTTATTTCGCTCACTGGGGTAGACTGTTCTAGTTCCACGTGCCATGTTTTAATGGATGTCAGTTATTAGTTATCTCCTGTTAATTTCCCTCTCTAAGTTCTCCACTGCCTTAACCAGGTACTGAACTCACACTCTTTGGGTCCTGTCACTGGATCTAACCAACACCTTTATCCATTGTGCCATGTGGATAAAGGCCAAAGAGTGTGAGTTCAATACCTGGTTAAGGCAGTGGAGAACTTTTGGAAAATAAAGCATAATATTTTTTTAAAAATACATATTACAACCAAAAACTTTTTTTTTCTCTTCTTTTTAATATATATATAAATGTGTGTGTATATGTTTTTTTCTTTAGAGGGTCAGAACAATGATGAACTTGTTAATGATACCAAAGGAGCCATACAGACTGTTATCTTGCTTTCGGTGATAGACAGTACCCCACGTGCTAAATCAGCACTTAAGGTAATACAGTCTATTTTTGCCATTTTGTCCATTAGAATCTAATCCCACCTAAATCCATCTCTCTCTCTCTCTCTGCTTTTAAGCTTTGCACACTTCAGAAAATTTAGAAACTTATTTGCTTAGAACTTATTTGCCTTAATAACCTTAGTTTTTGGGTAACTGTTGTGGTAAACCCTCCTACAGTAGAATGAACTCTTCCTCCTCTCATAAATACTAACTGCAATGAGTCAGATGAGGAGTGTAGACGCAGTGTTAACCTAGTGTTTGGATGGACACCTCTATCTGCTTATGACTAACATTATTGCTTTGTATATATCTGTTATTTCAATACACTTGTTCAATCTACCTTTGTCTTCCGTGTCTTTCTTTATGGCCCTTAAACAGGCCACAACACATGGTTAAGACCATTGGCAATGCATTTTCAAAGAGTTCATTTCGTGATTTGACAGCTCTACAGCTCTCAAGGTGTGCACACTTCAGAAAAGCAATTATTTGCTTTAATGATCTTAGTTTTTGGGTAACATAAAGAGGTGACCATTAACCTTAAAACTTCTCATCTTTATCTGGTTTTATTGTTTGTTTGTTTTTAGTTTTGTTATGGTTTCTGTCTCATATGCAGTTTTTTTTAAAAGCAATTAAAAAAAAATAGGTTTACTCATAACATATTCCATCAGTTTATAAGAAAGTCTATATTTTAGTACATGGCGCTTATAGATGTCAGTGTACCAGAACCCTTTTCATATCCAAATCTACTGATTATGTCAAGAATTAATCTAAATTTAAAAAAAGGTTAAGAAAAGGAAATGTTAAAAATCATTTCGCAATTTTGTTTGTTCCTTTGTTAGTAAGTTAGCAGTTGCATTACGTCCTGCCATTGTTTCAGACAATGGACCATTCAATTTTGATTGCAGGGAAAAATGGAAGAAAAAGATATATCAGAGATTGTATTTCATTTTATAAAAGAAGAAAGCGTATATAAGAAAGAAAGGGGATGTACAGTGTGTTCCCCAAAAATTTAAAATGTGAATATCTGAGTAACTACATGTCCCACGCAAACAAAATTAAATAAACTTCATGTTGAACAATAAAAGATTTATTTATCAAAATTCGAAAAAGATATTCAAAGGGATATAGATTTTATAACCAATTTCACAAAGCTTCACAAATGTTAAATATGTGCACCACCTGTGACATGACACACAAGTCAATAGTGCAGCTCCTGCCAAACATGCTGTAGCATGTCTTGCGTAACATTCTCCACCACTTGAATGGTTTTCCACTCAAGTTCCTCTAGGCTTGTAGGAAGAGGAGGGGAAATATAGACCTGTCCTTTCACATAGCAAAATAGAAAAAAATCGCAAGGTTGTCAAGTCAGGTGAACATGGTGGCCATTTCAATGGCACATTGTCATTATCACTGGCATGCTCGATCCATCTTTTTTGTTAAAATTTGAGATCATTTGAGCGAGAAATGGCTATGTTATTAGACTACAAAATAATGTCAATTGTTTTGGGGGACACCCTGTATAGTGGAGTTAACTCCCTTATGTGTTTAATGTCTCTTTCAGTGAAATGGAAAAACATGTCAATTTCAAATATTTTCATTTGTACCCTCTTACTTCTTTAAATAATGACCTGCATTCATACTTATGATTATTATTGTAATATTTTGTTAAAGTTGTTAAGCTCAAATATTTAACAATGCATTAGGGGAATTTCCATGAGTATTTAGAGTTCGTGGAACTCGCAAGGAGCTCAATTAGTCTTTAAATTAAGAATTATAATTCATCAAATCAAAAATTCAAACAGGAAAAACTTAAATTTTCAGGGATATTACTAGTGTATATGACTTTGCATTCACTTTTGCACTAATACCCTTGGGAAAGGCATGAATCAGTTAAGGGTTTAATAGCAGGATAGACTGGGCTTGTGGGGAAAATTAAATAAAACCAATAAATAAAATAATAATAAAGAATAAAAATAAATTCATTTTCCCATGATGCAACTTATAAAGAAACCAAAAAGGGTTTTTGGTCACATGTGCGATTTTTATTTGATTTACTGGGATTTATTTTATCTTTAGTAGGTCCGTTATGAGGTTTAACCTAATTGATACTTGTGCATGCGTTCCATTGCTCATATCAAATGTGATATCTTTATTTGACCGTATCAGAACTTTTCAGGGCCCTGTATAGGGCACTTCTAAAAGTTTTCTGACTCAATCAAATGAAAAGGGTTTCTGGTTACATGTGCCATTTTATGACCCCACTTCTAGAAAGGACAGAATCTTTCTCTTTCCAATGATATCATTAGGATGTGTTTTCAGCAGCCCTACTCATGAAGTAGAGGTTCTGTCTTCCCAACTCAACAAAAGTCTGACTTGAGCTTGACCATCTTTACCTGTTCTTATCCTTACTTCCCATGAATAATTTCTGAACCAAAAAGGAAAAACGGGACATACTGAAAAGACATTTAACTTTGTTTCAATACATAAAAGAAATAAACGTCCGTAGCAGAAACTTAAATTTTTTTGTATGCTTTTTCTATCTTCTTTGTTTCTATATTGAACATGCACCTTCATCTAAAAAATACACACAAAACCCAGACAAGTTTGTTAACATCTATATATATATTATAAATTAATTGATTTAAAATATGGTATTTTCCGCTACACAGTTCTAACCATGTTTCAAAAATAGAAGCTAAAAGCCCCAAATTTAATTTTGCAATTAAATTAAAAGCATTAGTTCCATTTCATCCTCAAGCGAATTTTGAAGTAACTTTTAAAAATTACTGGGTTTTAAAGACACAGCTAAAATCACGTTTCCAGGACTTTCAATCGAAGAGATATTGCATTGGTATACTAATGATTCAGTGCGACATTTATTTTGTAGTGGGCAATTTTGAGGGTTTCTACAGTTACATAGTTTTTGTTTATTTCCATCAGTTTTTATCTTAATTTTTCCATTGTCTAAACTTTTTAGGTTTTGGTATAAGTGTTTATTTCAGATATTAGCATTATGGTTCTTAATGATTTTTTCTAAGTTTTTTGTACAGCTGTAACTCAATTTTAGTGTGTTTTTATTGAAAATAGTACTTAGTTTACTTTCACTAGGAAAAAAAAAAATGTAACCTCATATACATATTTAAAACTTGATGTTAAAATAATCCTACATAATATAGGGGAGTCTAATACATTTAACTGCTCTTAAAAAGAATATAGTATAATAAAAATTAAAAATGAGAATATTTCAAATCGTAGTTAAATAAAAAGTATTATGATCTGAACACCCCTGAAAATCTTTAAATTTATAAATAGAAAAAAATGCCATTAGAATTTTTTACCGTTAACAATAATTTAAAAAAATCCAGACGATATGCATTGAACGGATGTCAGTTTTCATTGAAAAATACATCTCTACCCCTTACCAAATTGTAGCTAATAACTGATACAATGATACTGACATAAGGAATACCTAGACATCCCTTGTCCAATTCAAGTAAAATATTCTGTAACCATGGAAACATGATTTTAGCTGTGTCTTTAAAACCCAGTAATTTTTAAAAGTTACAGCCATGATACCTTAGCTCTGTTCAAAAAATGTGCTGTTAAGTGTAGGTCTTGTTTTTTTGTTTTTTTTTAGGACTGTTTCTAATATCTTCAATCATTTTCTTTTACAACTATATGTTCTTTTTGTCTGCAAAGGAGTAAATCCTTTGAAGTATATTTTGCAAAGTTGTTTTAATAAAAGTTTTGAACATTTTTACAGTTGAGCCTGATGTGTGCAGTGAAGATGTGTCAAAATTTCCCTGCTCTTAGTGTTGACTTTGTTGATACCATAGCGAGTCTGTTACAATCAAATTCAGGTAAGCCACTTGTTTCTGTTCTTGAGGCCCTAAATGATTGATCTTGTAATATTTTGAATTATTTTAAAATCAAGCATAAAATAGATTTACCAGTTTTCTCTTGCCATTAATATCTAAGTTTTTGATACTTCTATAAGTTCAATGTAATTCCATTTATCTTGGAGTTAAAATTAATCTTTAGCTGGAGAACTTTCCTGGTGGCCTAGAAAAGTGTTATTAAGCATATGTATCTGTCTTTGAGAAGTAGTTACATGATATACATAATTATAATTCCACTGCCTTTGTCGGATAAGGATATAGGAATGTTTTACTTGTTTGATATTTCTTTCCCCCTTCTGAAAAAGGTGTTGGAATTATAATTATGGATATATATGCATATGATACATATTTATCTCTCACTCTATCTATCTATCTATCTATCTATCTATATATATATATATATATATATATATATATATATATATATATATATATATATTCCAAAAAATTTTTGCTTCAAGATGAAACAGAGCTTGGTACTTTAATTCAATTTAATTCAAATAATTATATTTAAGTTTTCGGCTCTTGTTTTGAAACATGAGAACTCTTATGTAGTGATGGAATCATATTTTAAATAAATAATTATATTTAGGCTCTACTTTTGTATCGAAAGCACTGTTTTTTAAAATAATAACAAAAATACTAAAAAAGAACTTTGGATTATTTACCTAATGAGTTCTTTCCTATTTTCTATATATTTTACACAGACACACACATATCTCTCTCTCTCTCTCTCTCTCTCTATATATATATATATATATATATATATATATATATATATATATATATATATATATATATGTATATAGAGGGTGTCCCAAAATATGTACTCAATTTTGACTTTCTATAACACTTGAATGGGATTTATTTTGATTAAATCAAAAGATTTTCTGTTTTCTATGTATATCTAGTTATTATGCAACTGTGTACAGTTAATTATATGAAAAATATGTTTATTCATTAATTGGAAATACAATAAATTAAAAATATGTATGTGTATGAATATTTGTTTCCCCCCACTATCTATATATATATATATATATATATATATGACAATTGGAAAAAATCATACATTTTGCCGACGCGTTTCGCCTTCCGACTTTTTCATAAAGGTAATTTACATTAACCAGAAAAAAGGCTTAGACACAAGCGTCTATCTTTTTAATTTTGAATTTTAATGTAACTATAACAGCAAAAAAAACATTTTGATTTCATTTTTGCCTTGAAAAAGTCGGAAGACAAACGCATCGCAAAATGTATGATTTTTTTCCAATTGTCATTTGATACCAATCTGTCTTGTCCACAGAATTCATCTAATTTAATTTAATATATATATATATATATATATATATATATATATATATATATATATATATATATTGTACACACATACATTCAAGTTTTTTGAATAACATCCTCAAAATCTGTCCATTTAACTTTTTATATAGTCTTTCCAACTATTGACAGAGAGGTTTTACATTAGGATTAAAATTGTTAAGTTGCCCAAAGTTCATTTTTATACATTCAAGTACTTTCGACTATCACTACAGTTGTTATCAAGAATCATGAGTGATTAGCTAAGGCTTGAATCATGAGTGATTAGCTAAGGCTTGAATCATGAGTGATTAGTTAAGGCTGGAATCATGAGTGATTAGTTAAGGCTGGAATCATGAGTGATTAGTTAAGGCTGGAATTATGAGTGATTAGTTAGGCTGCAAGAGTCAGAAATACTAAAAGACGAAGTATGGGCAACAATGGAGAAGATAAACAGAAACAAAGCAGATGGGATCGTAAAACAGAAATGCACTCACCCTTAGAAAATTTTGGCATTAATGAGATTGGTCATAAATAAAATATACAAAAGTGGCAACATGCCAGAGGACCACATTAAATCTATTTTCATAACATTACCTGAGAGACCAAAGGCAAATGAATGCAAGCTCCATAGGACAATCACTTTAATGAGCCATATAACCAACCTAATGATGCGAATATTGATGAATAGAGCACAAAACATCATTAGACTGAAAATAGGATAGGAACAGTGCAGCTGTGTTAAGGACATTAGAACAAGAAAGGTGATATTCATGATCAGAATGATACCAGAGAGAGAACAATACAAATGCAGAAGGATGTGCACTTATGTTTATAGATTATGCAAAAGCATTTGACAAGATATAGCACAAGAATCTATTTGAACTGTTAGGAAAACTTGATCTATTTGGAAAAGATATTAAAATAATCTAGAGCTTATACTGGGAGCAAACCACTTGCAAATGAACAGAAAATAAATTAAGTAGCTATAAAAAAAAATTAGAAAGAGGCGTGAAACAATGATGTGTCTTCTTGCCAAATTTATACAACCTTTACAGCAATGCTATCCAAGGGAACTGGAGATCATACCAGGATTTATTATAAGTGGATGTATTCTTAACAATATAAGATACACAGATGACACTGTGCTGATGGCCAACTTGGAAAGAAAACTACAGGACCCTCCTAGACAGGGTGGCAAAAGAGAGCAATAAAAAGGATGAACCATCAACTTGCAAGAAGACAGAAAGTATGGTCATGAGAAAACAACCAAGAACCAAGATACAAATTGGAGATGTCAACATTAAACAAGTGTGGAAGTTTAAATATCTTGGAAATTTTTTAACACAGGAATGAATGTTTGGATGAATTTGTTTAATAAATCCTATCAGTGATAAGACAGCTTACATAAATGGCTAGTAAATAATTTGCAATGCATTCCTATAGTAAAATCATTTGCAATGAATATCTATGCTTTTAGTATTTGCTATGTCACTATATATGTAATCATTAGAGGGAATGAAAGTTTGGATGGATTTGTTTAAGAAATCCTATTCTTGATATAAAGGATTCTATAAAGAACTTGTTAATAATAAATAGTAGAAAAAGAGTTTTGTTGACACTGAATCTGCTTGGTCTATTTAATTTTATAATCTTTTATTTACAATTGATAAATAAGTTTTCTGTTTTTCCATTGCTCTCACTAACAAAATGAAATCAATTTTGAAGGCTTGTGTGAAATGACTTGATTTTCTTTCATTTTGTTTCAGGTATGCACCAGATGTTGATATGTGACAGCCTAACTGCAATTGGTGCAACTAATTGCACTGACTTGGAATCCATTCTGCCTCTCATACTGGACACTCTCAAAGGCAACACTGACCAAGATGATTCCATTGACAATGCAACACGGGTAATTCTTCTTTTGCTACTCAAATAGGAGTAGATAGATTCAGCTATTATCTGGTTCACACTCCTCCCCAGTTTTTTGAACAGGAGTAAAGGTTTATCCTTTGTTTCCTGTTCAGGGTCTGGTTTCCATTTCCTTCTAAAATCTACTTCAATTCTTTACCTCTAATATCTCCGCCTAAACTTTGAAATTTTATTTAATATTTATTTATTTTTTTAGTTGAATAGGAGTAGATAGGTTTGCCTATTTTCTGGTTCACACTCCTCCCCAGTTTTTTGAACAGGAGTAAATGTTTATCCCTTGTTTCCAGTTTAGGATTAGGTTTCCAGTTCCTTTTGAAGTTTTTTTCATTCTCTTGCGTCTTTGTAGCATTATCAACTTGCTTGAGTTGAATTGATTAAAATAGACAAACGATAAAAGGAAAAATGTTTGAAACTCCTGCTTAGGAGTGGGTTTCTAGTTCCTTCTGAAGTCTTTTCATTCTCTTTCACTGCCAATAGCCCCTTGTGTCTTCCTGGTATTGTCACCTTGCTTGGGGTGGATTGATTAAAGAAAAAATAATCATTTTCAACAAAAAAAAAAAAAATCAGTAATATGACTCATTGTCACTAGAAAATAGATCCTGGTATAAATGGTTGGCCCATTCTGTTGCCTGGAAAGTATCTGCGATATTCTGTCATACTTTCTTTTTAAAGGTGTCAGATTAGACCAAAATTGGAGTATCAGATCTGGAGCTGCTCAGCCCCAACTTTCCAGCCTTGACAGAGTTTAAAATAATTTATGCAGTCTTGTGGGAGAAGATGTATTGGGAATCCATCTCTTCTCCCTGCTGCTATGGGTTAATTAGTAGTATCAGTAAATCATTATTATCTCCCAAAAATTCTTACTGCAGCCTCTTTCCCACAATGGCTACGTTGCAAGCCTATTGCTACTCTATCGCTATTTGGATGTGCAGGTGGTGTAATGAATAACAGCTCAGAATTGGAAATCAGAGAACCCAGTTCCAATTCCACTCAGGTTCATTATATTCACTTATGCACAAATTGTCTAGGGAATAATGTTAGTCCAGTTCTCTTCTCTGCTATGTTAATAACTACCTTCATGGACCTACCTGTTAGGGAGGATTTTATGATCAAGAAGACCTTTCCAGTGATTCCATAACTGGGGAGCTTGTGTAGTAAGCCCTTGTGCCACATTTTGTTGAAGGCCTTGTCAAGATATCTAGTGCTATGTTCCTTGAGGTGTATTTGTTGTCTGGAGCCACAGTGATTCTGTGAGTGATAGTAGTTAGGGCATAGGCAATGGATCAGGCTGACCAAAACCCATACTGCTCCTCACTGAAGAAGTTGTTCTTTTCTAGACGACTCTCTTATTAATTATGGCCTCAAAGAGCTTACTAATCATACCAAGGTGACTGATGAATCTGTACTGGGAGAGGGAAGATTGCGTACTTGCATTCTTCAAAACCAGGCATGCGCTTGACACTTTCCACAGGCTTGGGAAGGATTTCTCCTTCAAGCAGCAGTTGAATAGCTTTGGGATTAATTCTGGATTGACGTTCTTAAGAACAACCACTGGAATTTTGTCTGGACCCATGTCCATGGACCTTAGGGTCAAGGTCTTTGATAAGTCTGGAGACTTCTCGTGCTGCGATGGTGATATTACTGAGATTGTACTCAGTGAGACATAGGAGGGGATGTCTTTTTCATCTAACATTAAGATGAAGGCAAAGAGGTTTGCCTTCTCTGTCAAGAAGAGTATGACCTTGAGGCCATATGTAATTGTGTGCACAACCACTTTACCTCTGTTCATGATTTGGTTGGTGATCTTCCAGAATTCACATCACGCCCATCATTCATCATAAATGTAATGTTACAATTATCTCCCTTGCTAGCTATATGCACAAGTACCCTTGGGAAAGGTACAAATCTATAAATCTCTACCCCCTCCCAGCTATGTGGTGGGGGTGTTGGATAGCAGCTCAGAATGAGAAATTAAAGAGTCAAGTTTGAATTCCAGTCATTTTTGTTACATTCACTTATGTGCAAATATACTTGGGAATGATATGAATCCATTTCCTCCCCCTAGGTATGGGTTAAATAGTAAGATTTATATCTGGAAAAATTATTGTTATTCTCAAGAAAATTATTAATGCAATATTCACCTACAAAAAAGAAATATTCTGACAGTCCAAAATATGTTTTGGCTTTAAGTAACCTTCAAAGGGTTGATAAGCCGAATAGACAAATCAATCAATTAATCATCTCTTGCTAGATAACACTATAAAAAGAGGTAACAACAGAGGTAAAATGTGAGGTACCATTACCTCACTACTACTTCTGAAGATGCTAAAATGGCAGCTTGATAAAATAAAGACTTCCAGCATAATAATAACCATTTTAACAGTAACTCTCTACCTTGAGCGCCATTCGAGCTTAGTATTGGTTGAACTTCAGTATTAAAAATAAAAGACCTTGTTCATTCTCTTTCTCCTCCATCCCTTATTAATTTTTTTTATGTCTCTTTTGACATCTTTGTTTCCTCGCCAAATATTTGTTCGTTAATATTCAGCTCTGTTTTTCATTTACTGTATATACTCATGTATCATGTGACTTTTGAAGACCAAATTTTGAAGCTAATTTTAAGAGGAGGTCACATCATACATGTGATATAAGATTAGTGTATGTACTCCTGGCCTTGGCTACACTGTTGATCAAACTATATATACCATTTACTGTAGTCAAAAAGTATTGCTGTATTTAAAATAAACATTGCACGTTACACAAGTATATACAGTAATTTGAAGCTGGGACCACAAGTTCTGGCTGATAGATTTTCTGAGTTTAGTACTCGCCTTTCTGCTTTTCAGGCTCGTATCTGCACTCTTGTTTTCCAAATGGCCTGTGGTAAAATCCTTCCGACTTCCATCCAGGAAACAGTTATTACTGCTGCAAAACAAGCTGGGGCTTGGGAAGCCTATCGAGTGGTTAGGCAAGCCATGAGATACCGTCAGTACCATGTAGCAGTTACCATACTTGCTTCGATTATGAATAAGGTGAGTCAAAGAAACGTGTGTCATTATTACTGTATTTTCTGACTTACAAGACGCTGCAGCTTGGAAGACGCACCCTAATATTGGAAAGAAATTTCTAAGGAAAAAAAAAGTAATTCTCATACATTAATCACTTGTCCGATTTTGTTTGTATTGCAATGACATACTAGTCAAAAGTAGAAAGGCTCCCACTGCTGCTAGTAAACAGAGCATGTTTAAGCTTGTGGCTCAGCTCCAGGAAGGTTTATAGTCTTGGAAATACTTGTAACAGCTAAATACTGTGGTTATATCATATATATTTTGTGATGTCAACCAACACTCGTTTGACACTTTCGCAGTGGAGACTTTGTAATCACAGATACAACTATAATACACCATTGAACAATGCTGGTGTCAGACGCCTTTGAATAACACTCGCACTAATAGTACTTGCTTGATAATACTTACTCGACAAGTAACCTGTATAGTGAATAGAGTAGAGAATAGTGATCCATATAGTAATAGAGGATAGAGTAGAATACCAATCCGAATAGAAGTAACAATTAATTAGACTACCTTCCTTATATGTGTCTCCTCTATGGTCACAAGGTCTACTTAATTCAATAATGGGATCACCTGTGTTTGCTTACTGGCGATCTATGTTCAAACTCAAGTGTTGGCAGCGACACAATTATTACTATATAGCAATATAAAAGGCTGAATTAGATAGCTAACATTATAGGGTAATGACTCGATGTAAAAACCTACATCCCTATCAGTCAAACCAATTAGGTGATTGTCCAAGCTTACTTGAGCCTGGGCATTGCCTTACATTGTCTTGGAAGGCGCACACATATTTTCAGGGTATTTTTTAGGAAAAAAAAAGTGCATCTTGTAAGCTGGAAAATATGGTAGGTTGCGAAAATAATTAAAACAATTTCTGGGATGAGGAGTTATTATTATTTATTTTACTTATATTCAAACCATTCTTCTCTTTGTTGTTGCTATCACAATATTCCAGCCGTTTTGCATTTGGCCTTCATCAGGTGTATATTAATCCAGTGCTTAAAAAATAATAAACATTTTTTGATGTCTAAATTTCTCCGATAAGGAGTTATCATTATTTACTTTATTTACATTATTGTCCTCATCTTTGTTGTCACTATCACGTTTTGGTTGTTGAGCCCTCTGATCTTCATCAAGTGTTTGTCAATCCGGGTAAACTCCAGGGAATTTCACATTGAATCCTTTATTTAATCTATTGGGATAGATTGCTCTTTTTCCACTAACCATATCTAGAGACATCTTGCCTAGTTCTTATTTTAGTACTGCTCAGTTATTGCTCATTCACTTTCTACAGAATCCAACTATGCACTGCCTAACCCAGGGATTGAACTCACAATTACTATGTCACCAAATTCACAAACCAAAGCTTTAATCCACTAGGCTATTGTGAATTTGGTAACATAGTAATTGTGAGTTCAATCCCTGGACCGGGCAGCATGTACTTGGACTCTGTGGAAATGGGGCAAGCAATAACTGAGCAGTACTAAAAATAAGACCTAGATATCCCTAGATGTGGGTAGTGGAATGAGAACAGTCTACCTCCATAAATTAAATAAAATGTTCAGTTCAAAATTCCCTGTAGGTTACACAGATTAGCAAGCACTTGATGTAAGCCGGCGGTCTCAATGACCAAAAACATGATAACAACAGCAGAGATGCAGACAATAGTCTGTGTGTAAATAAAACAGTTTCGGTACCTAAGATATTTATATTTATTTTACAATGTACTATTTTTCTGACTTTGTCTTTTAACCTTTTAGATTTAAGTTTTTTTGTCTATCTTAAAATATTTTGTGAACTTCAGTTAGTGACATGGTTTTCATCCTGATATTAATATTCCATTTATTGTGCACTATCTACTTGATTTGTTTCTATAATGTCTTTAGCCTGATCTGAAATAAAGCAATAGTTGACTGTCCTGGGTATAACGATAAACTACATCTGCATCCTGGGTAAGATGATAAACTACATCCAACAGCAAGGCCTCTGATCAGGAGGTTTTGTGGAGTGGGGAACCACCTCTTAATTGCTGGTGTTCCCAGGTCCACTCTGACTCAGGGTGGTAGCATCAGTTAGGGGCCCAGCTATGGGCAAATAGTTAACCCCCTAAACTGGGGACAAAACACTATGAAAGTGAAAAAATAGGTTTTAATACCAGAAATACTATTTTGTAAAAAATTATTATCAGCAATACATTTTTGAAAAAAGAAATTATTACCAGCTATACATTTTTTGAAAAAATATTACCAGCATTAGATTTTTGAAGAAAAATAATTATTACCAGCAATACATTTTTGGGAAAAAAAATATTACCAGCAATAAAAAATTTGTCAGCCATTGAGGTTGATATGCCGTAAAACAAACCAAACCAAGCAACAGTTGATAAAATTTGTATTTATTTTGCTGGAAGATGTGCTCAGACTAATGGTTAACAACATCGAAATTAGTATTGGCAAATTCCAGTAAGAGTAGTTTGTATTCTTTTTGCCTCAATGCTCTTGAACTCTCCCTAGCAAATTAAATAGCAAAGTAAGCAAATTGGCATGAGGTAATGATTAACAAGATTAATCTGGTTGACTGTTACTACTGAGTAATCAGTTCAATCCTTACTGTGTGCCCTGTACAAAATTTTGCATTTAGTATCCCAGAAAGGGTGGATATGTAATAAAATTAATCAACTTTAGTCTTGGTTGGTAACCAATCTACGAGAAAGACAATTCTGAATTCAGAATCAGAGATGGCAATAAGAAAGAAACCACTCTATTAATATTTCAAAAAATACTCAAGGTAATGCATGGTTTACATATATTAAATAAAAAGCAAGCTGTGGAGAGCTAATGTTTTGACTTCAAAGTTTGGAAGAAAAGAGAGTTTAACTTTTTGCACCATTTGAATTCAAAGAATGCTCATGGTAATGCATAATTTACAGGTATTACAAAGGAAGTTGTGGAGAGCCAAGATTGTCCTAAAAATATTATTTTACTAAGAATAAATGGAAAATATATTTGTTTTTCTCTGTTTGTTTCTTGTGTGCAGTGATTATATGACACAATAGGTCCTCTCCAAATGACCAGCTGAAACACATGCACTGTCAAGTGGGCCCTAAATGATATTATTGGAGTCTGAAGTATGTTTTTTTCATTTTTTTTAATGGCCGGAAGTCTTTAAAAGTATGTGGTTCAAAGCAACATTGCACTTGACTGAAGAGAAAGAAAAGAATAAGTAAATGAAAACTTGTAAGGTCAAGTGACACTTGGTCGGAAGATAGAGGCTTTCACCTGCAGCCTTATATAAGTAGAGTCCTGGTTAGGGTAAGATGGAGAAAAAACTGTCTCTCCAACCAGTCTCGTCGGTAGCAGTAAGAAAAAGAGATGAAGAGACTTATGTGCTATGTATCTACTATTAAAGAGAATGAACTTGGAACCTCAGTAAAATAAACACTAAAATATTGAAAACTGGATTTGTTTTGTATCTGTCTATATTTCTGAGATGAGGTATTATGTACACTATTTACATTATTCAGACTATTGTTCTCATCTTTGTTGACATATTTATCACAACGTTTGCTTAAGGACACATGGCACAATGGATAAAGGCGTTGGTTAGATTCAGTGACAGGACCCAAAGAGTTGTGAGTTCAATACCCGGTTAAGGCAGTGGAGAACTTGGAAAGGGGAATTAACAGAAGATAACTGAAATCTGACATCCATTAGACATGGCACATGGAACTAGAACACTCTACTCAGCGAGCGAAATAAAGGGTTCAGTTCAACATTCCAACCACCTGAAGTTGGCCGGAACATACAACGGACAAAATTTTGTGATAAATATGGCAACAAAGTTGAGGACAATAGTCCGAATAATGTAAATAGTGGATTTGTTTTATCATTGGTGTTGATTTCGCCTTCCGTCCCTTATAAATATGCAGCAAATCTTCCCCAGTCTTTGTGAACACTTACGTGAATGAGAAATGAAACACATGGGGATTTTTTTTATTTTATTTTTTTTACTGTTCAGGTCAGTTAATGACTTAGAGAGCTCCAACAACTTGTCACCCACCCCTCGTCACGTATATTCACAATTACAACATTGTTACTTTTGTTTTGATTTTTTTATGTATGGCTGCATCACATTGAAACACCAGTTCCCACACAATCGCCAAAATTAAGCAATGTTGAGTCTGGTCAATACCTAAATGGGTGACCGCTTAGAAATGCCAGGTTCTGTAAGTTTGGATGTGCAGGTGGTGTAATGGATAATAGCTCAGAATTGTTAATCAGAGAGCTGAGTTCCAATCCCAATTAGTTCGTTATATTCTCTTATGTGCAAATAACCTGTGGAAAGGTATGAACACCTCCTCTCCCTCCCCCCACCTCTGGATTAATTAGTAAGACTTGTAACACTAAACTATTATCTCAAAAAACAAAAAAAAAGTTTTACAATCTAAAAATATTTCCTGGTTTTAAATAACCTGCTAATGTTTGATAAGACGTAGAAAATGAATAATCCTTTCTCACGGAGTTTCTTGACTTTTTTCTTTTTAGGTTGCTTCTGAACATTTCCATTTTTGGTTGTCTGGTTTGTATGATTTATGCGTAGGTGAGAGTCAGCTGTTGGGTGACCAGGACGTTTCTCCTCAAACAAGTACTACAGAAAATGTTGGTGAAGCTCTCACACACTATCAACGAGGAATTTCTCAACTCAAAGTTAGTAATATGCTGTTAGTTTTTTTTTATTTTTATTTTTTTAATCTGAAATAGCTAAATAATTTTTTGATCTGAAATAGCTATCAAAAGATTTTTTTTATTTTGCTTATTCAAAAATGTGAAGCAGTATTCTGCTTGAATTTTTTTATTGTTAGTTTTCCCAATAGAATACCCAAGGACCACTCAAGGCAGAGGGTTACTGAGTTAGTTTGTTGTAAAGAAGGAGGAAAGAGGAAGTAAGAAATGCATATTATGAGGACATGTTGGATTCATATTGGTTGATCCTGGACCTGAAGAGACCAAGATTGTAGTTGCTGGGGAAGCATCCTCTCGAGACTTTATTCCACAAAGTTCTGGAGAAGAAGCTCTTTGAGTGAAACCTGCTCCTTATCAAAAGAAAACAAAGGGAATTGGAATGATTTGCCACCATAGACATTGCATGCACACACACATTATATATATAAAGTCTGATGATCTGCAGTCCTTTTAAAAGGGCTGTGGTGAAATAATTTATTACATGGAACCTTAAAGTGGTCTGTTTTTATTTAAATTATTTGCTCTGAATTTACATTGAGCTCTCTGGATTTTATCCTCCTTAGGTTTACACATACGGATTACCTAGTTTTTCATAAACTAACTAACTATATATATATATATATATATATAGGTCAGTTTCATGCTGATGCAATCTTTAGGTGCATATTATTTTGGGTTGACACCAGTTTTTAATATTTCTGATTATCGTGAGATATTTCTGGTTATCATGAGATATTTTATTGTTATTGTTGTTTTAATTTTATTTTATCACTGAACAGTTTATTAATATTAATAATATTATTAACTTTATTGATTTTCATGGAAAAAATAGTTATCTCCCCTAGATTTCCAAACGTTTCGGCCTTTTGATAGTTTCAGTTTTTAAATTTCAATTTAGAATTCTTATTTCCAACCTTATTTTTAATCTTAAATGTTAATCTGGGCCTAAATTCAAATCCAAAAATTAAACTACAATCCATTTAAATAATTAACAATAATAATAATCCCTCCTGACAATAAAATATCTCATAATAAACAGAAATATTAAAAAGCCGGTGTTAACCCCAAATAATAATAAGATTGCATCTGAGTTGTGCAGCCAATGTAAGATATTATGTATATTTTTTTAATATATATATATATATATATATATATATATATATATATATATATATATATATATATATATATAATGGACTCTCCCATCGGTTTTGACATATGAGGATCTGACAACTTTATAAATTTTGTGCGATAATCTCAAGTAACACTTAAGTCTCCGTAAGGATTTGCAAAGGACGCCACATATGGAGCAAGAATGAGGATTGTGGGATGAGGTCACTGTTAGACTGGCTGACCTTTTAGATCTTGCTCTTGCTTCTTGAAGACCTTTCAAACTAGCAGATTGAAAACTGCTGAGTCCACTAAAACACATTGATCTCCACACTACCCGCTTCAAGGCTAAGTGATCAAGTGTGTCATAAGGTATATTGATAGCGGACAAGTTGATCAGTTCAGCTTGTCTTTGTATCTAAGCCATGGACATCCTACATTCTTGTAGCCCTGATCTAACTGGCTGTACATTAGGATCTTGGAGATATATATATATATACATACATATCTTAAATGTCTATAATTTATAATTGGTAACAGAAGCCATTGGTTTATACCAACGGCTTTCCTTATTTCATTCTACACCACTCTCGTGTAGTCATGTGACGTCATGAGATGCGGTCACGATTTTCGCTTCTAGCGCCTTTATATGCACGGTTCATCGTTGTTTAGTGATCCACTATGTAAACAAAACAATGACAGCCTATCATCACTGTCGTGTCCGTATATTGTTTGATATGTTTGTAATTACATCTTTGATAATGGCTTGAGTAAGCCGAAAGCTTAGATTTTATTAAAAATAATGGATAAATATTGTGAATTTCTTTTTTTCGTTAATGATAATGTTACCAAACTTATCAGAAGATACGAAAAATTTTACATAAAATAATTTAGACAACACTTGTCTATATTATTTAATGAAACGTATATATATATATATATATATATATATATATATATATATATATATATATATTGCAACAAACAGTATTTAGAAAAATAGTAAGACAAATTGGAAAAATCTGTTAGGATTTCATTGAATTGGACTTTGTTGATGTTGCCACATCTACAAATTAGCATGAAACAAGAGATGCTGGTAGTTTCAAAATTTTTTTATATTTTTTTTTTTTTTTAAATATTATTTTTTCAGTCTAACCAAATTCAACTGTATTCTTTGTCCCTGACTATCCTACATTGTGACAATTGAAAATCTACCAAAAATGATGATATAAGAGACTAGACGCATATTTACCAATAGATTTGTATATTTATTAATATATACTTAATAGCTCTGTTATTTTGCATTGAGCACTGTTTTACTTACACCTAAGGATTATATACATAATGAAATGGACTATGTCCTACAATTTTTTTAATATGTTTTTTTGTTTATACATTATTTTTGTAGATACAAATATTTAAGTAAATGCTCTGTTTATAAGTAACAGTATTAAAAACATTTACCAGCTTGATTGTCCAGGAAATCTCAAAGAATATCTGTGTCCTCTGACAGGAATTGAACCTGTATCCTACATGGAACTGCCATATAGCCTGACATGCTATACCAATTAGCTGCAGAGGAAGTGTCTGGTTAGCTACAGCTAAATGGTATAGCATGTCAGGCTATATGGCAGTCCCATGCAGGATACAGGTTGGATTCCTGTCGGAGGACACATATATTCTTTTGAGATTTCCTGGAAAATCAGGCTGGTAAATGTTTTAATACTGTTACAGAGCATTTACTTAAATATTTGTATCTATAAAAATAACATATAAATAAACATATATATATATATATATATATATATATATATATATATATATATATATATATATATATATATATATATATATAATTATTATTTATATATTATATGCACGGTACTTATTAGAAAGCACTCAATATCAGAGATAGAGCTAACATATTTGGTTGGACTGATGTGAGTTTGTGACCCTGGGTTTCACGCTTTTGCGATCATCAAACATATATATATATATATGAACACTTGCATGTACATTTATTTATTTAATTATGGTAGAGGCATATTTACTCATGAATAATTGGGTTTTGCAATTTCCGTAGAAATTAGATGCAGTAAATATCCCTATTATATTTGGCCAACCAGGTCTGGGTGGTCCGTCCAGCAAAGCTTATAGCTCAATATTTGTTAACTGATGATAAAACAAATTTTAACCCATTTCTGAAGAAAAAAAAATGTATCAACTTTTTAAAATGTTCCCATTATGTCTGCATATTTAATTTCTTAGAATTTTCTGGCATTGAGTCAGGCTGAAAGTCATATTTTTGTTTCGGTAAGTTGACCAGTACACTGTCTTCTTTCTTTAGGCAGCTACCACGCCGAGCTTTCGGTTACATTTTCAGAACGAATACAGCAGTTTGCGTTGTCAACTCATGCAACAACACCGTCAGCTATGTCAAACTTGTGGCACATTTCAGACATGTCCACCCCCAGCAATTGCATCAGCTCTGGCCATGAACAATTCCAGTGACATCAGCAGATGTGGTCCGGTCATTTCTCAGGTAATTTCATATTTTCTTTTTTAGGGAAAGAAAATCTTTGAAAGTTTAGGAATGATTTCTTGTGTCCTTTATTCTTTTGCTTTATTAATCAATTCTTTTTAGATCAGTTGGATTTCAATATGCAATCATTGCAGGACTTTTGTTTGTTTTTGTTTTTTTTTTGTTATTTTAATTAATATAAACAAAGTGTTTTATTATTTTGTTTTACATCTTGTTCATTTTTAATATCACAAATACCAATAAATGAACTGAGGAATTCATTTAGGAATATTACTCATAAGATCTTTTTTTTATATATTTAAATACAATAACAAAAAAAATAGTTTCAAGTAAATCTAGATCTGGAGCTTTGATTATATTGCTGCAGGTTTCCCAGTGACTGGGGTAGGCAGCAGTTGGCTAGCTGTTTCCAGTCATCCCTGTCAAGCAGGCTAATGTAGGCAAGGCTTCACTCTCTCATGTCCTTCCCAATGCAGTCTTTCCGCATCTCCCTAGGTCTACCTCAACCTCTGTGACTAGGAACCCTGATCTCCAAGACGGTCCTAATGCATGACAGGGCTCGTTGGACGTGACCAAATCATCCAAGATTATGGGTGTGCAGCACTGATGTGATGTTCTCAATACTGAACCTTGTTAACAATTCAGATGAGGTGGAGTTTCATACTGAGGCTTGGTGCCACAGATCCAGCAAATCATCAAATGATTGTTGCAGCAGAGTTGCTGCAAGACTGATACACTTGGTGCTCAAGTCTCACTGCTGCGGAGCAATGCAGATTGTAAAAATGTGTACGAGCTTTTTGAATTTTCACCAAGCCACAGACTACCTGGTTATAATGGGGAGCTCAAAACCTACACCTGTGCAGAGCATACCCCCCAAGATAACAGAAACAGGGCCATATATCCATTTTTGAACCAGCCAAAGTGACTTGTGTAGTGGGCCTGCCATTAATAGGCCGTGCTTTGTCACTGCAATCTAGTAGTTCTGTTAGCCTACCGGTGATGCCACTACGTTTCTTGTGCACCTTGGTGTTGCATTTGGAGCACAAGATTGCAAGATTCATACCCACTCAACTTCAGCAGACTGCACAGGGAAACACATTCATCCAGAGTGTCAGTGATTAACGCAAGGTTGTCAGCATATAGAAGCTCCCATGGTACACCAGTGTAGAACTCCTGAGAGAGTGCTTTCAACATGAGACTGAAGAGCAGTAGACTAAAGACTGTGTCTTGATGAACACTAACACTGAACTCCTTTCTATATTGGCCATTGAAACATGTCAGACTCCTACAACTTGTCCAGGTCAACACCAGAAATCATAAACTTGGTCTTTTTCATGTTGACATGAAACCCCTTGCTGGCCTTGCCCATCTTCCAGGTTTTCAGCTTGGCAACACATTCATCCAGAGTGTCGACAATTAACACAAGGTTGTCATCATGTAGAGGTTCTCATGGTATACCAGTACAGAGCTCCCGAGAGAGTGCCTCCAAAATGAGAATGAAGAGCAGTGAATTCAAGACTGAGCCTTAATGAGCACCAAGTCCAACACCAAACTTGACTTTAACTTGACTCTGAGCATTGCAGTACATGTTCTTAACCACACAAATAGCCCAATCCTCAACTCCAGGGATTCTCATGGGCCACAATATCACCATTCTTGGAACACAATCAAATGCCTTTTCCAGATCCACAAAGGCAAAGAAGAAAGGTTTCATAGCAACAATGAATTTCTCCTGCAGCTGATGCACAATGAAAATTGTGTCAGTGGTGCCTCTCCTTGGCATGAAACCATACTGCATTTTATTGATGTTGACTATTCTTCTGATGTATGAGTCAAGCACACATTCCAGCAGTTTCATTACTTGATCAGTAAGCTTGAGGCCTCTGTAGTTGCCTCTGTCCAAGGCATCATCCTTGCCCTTGTAGAGGCTGAGAATAAAGCTCTCCTCCCACTCACTTGGGATCACACCACTACTGAAAACGGATTTCTAAGTAACCTAAGTATTTCAATGCTTTTATCACCAGATGCTTTCAGCATTTCGGCAACGATACCAGATGGGTCAGCTGCCTTTCCACACTTCATCTTCTTGACTAGTTACTAGACATAGGGTCTTCCAACAGTGACTCTCTTGACCAGTGCATTACTATCTACTCAAGGCATTTGATGTAAGTATATGTATTGATTCTGAAGCCCTCACCAACAAAAAGCTGAGCATATGTCTACAGCAGCAAAAGTGTTAACACTTCTGCTGCTGTAGATATACTTATATGCCCTTACAAAACTTACATTATCTTCATTTGATGTATAGATGCATTTTTAACACACCATGAAATCTTGACCCTTCACATTTGTTTTTTAAATTAACTAGTGCTTAGTGTTATTTACAAACCAGCATATAGTAGTATTAGTATAGGGTGTGTATTTGCCACAGAGTTTACTGACTATTCTATGTTAGGTAGAATAACGCGTTCTAGCCTTCAGTAGCACACCGATACTAATATTAGCATTAGCGTAGCCATTGATACACTAACACTGAATGCGAATATGAAAAGACGAAATACGCGAGCGTAACCAATGAAACATTTAATGTGGCGAGCAGCCTTCGTAAATATATACACAAGATATATACATGTCCCAAAACAAATAATTGTCCATATTGTCCCAAAGGGACGAGGAGGTTAAACAGAATTAGTACAAAGAAATCACCTACCAATTTCATGGCCTTTGGTCGTCCCAGATGAGTGAATGAATTTGTTTTAGTTAGGGTCGTACACATGTTGACCAGTTTCCACGTGTGTGGACGCTCTGGTGGTCAGGAAGGAAAAGAGGTCGTTCCTCCCAGAACGGAAGTGAAGACAAAAAAGGGCAGAAGAGTTCTACTCACTAAAAGAGGCCACAACTCTCATGGGCTAATGCAAAGGGAAAACAATTGTGGTCTCCCTACAGTAGCATTTTCATTTCTAGTAACATGCAGTTTCTTTCTCAAAACTGGTCAGTACAGCCAGGCAACAATGCTAAAGCAAAAATCCTTTCACGGTACCAGTATACACTTACACTTTTCTGTTTTAACGCTTTCGCTGCTGAAGACAGATATCTTTACAAAACTGAGTAGCAAGTTCGATCCTCACTGGGTGCCTCATACTTTCAGCCTTGTGCCGTATATAAACTATACTTAAAAAATCACCATAGTTAGACATATTAATTTTTTATACTTTTAATATTTTTTTTTAATATCCCATTATTTATTTTTTTTAACCAAATTTTAGTACTATTTCCTTTTTTTTTCCAAAATTGAAATAAAACGAAACTACATACTAGGACATTATTTTTTTTTCATTACTACTAATTTCATGGGACATGTCTCTTTAGGACGTGGATGATCCTGGCTCACCATAAATTCCTGTCTCTCGTTGCTCTAAGCAGCATTTACTATTTACCATTCCGCTTTTGCCCCTGCTCTGCTATCCATTCACCCTCATTAGGTAGGTTACCCTCTATCCGTACTTTCTTCAATATGCCCTCTAAGTGTTTTTCAAGTCCTTTTTTTCCTCATGAAGTATTCCCAAAAATTCAACTGTCTGATTTTAAGTACAATTCTCCTTCTGACTGCACCCCCCCCATTATTTCTCTGCCTTCCTCTGTAGAATCTCATCCCTGTTGGTTCAGGTTTCACCTTTATCTGAATGTTATCAAACATTCACTGATATATAGGAGGGCAAACATAATATAGCAGTTCAGTACTCAGTTTCTATCTCAATTTTCTTGTTTCTTAATACTTTGCTGAGTTTCTTGAAAGCATCTTTCTCTATTCTAATGTAAAAGAAATTAGATACTATGCAGCAGTTCAGTACTCTTTTCTTTATTTCTAATGAAATTTTCCTGTTTCTTAATACTTTCCTTAGTTTCTGGAAGTTCTGTTTTACTATTCCCTCTAGTGTACCCATTCCATCAAAAATGACAATTGTTAGAAAACTTTAATAGTGAGATGCAATGAAACAAGTTTTGAAACAATGTTTTGAGATTAAATAAAATGGAGATAAAGAATTCACAACTAAAATCAAAGCCAGTGAACTATTTGATTAATCCGTTCCCTTTATATACTTTTTTAGATGTTCAATCGTATTTCTGATTCATTGATTACTCCTGGAATTATATAAATCGCTTTTGCTCAATATCTTTTTGTGTTAAAAATTTTGTCTTTAATATAACAGTGAAATTGAAATATCTCTTGGAAGAAAAACATTACTAACAGAACAACAAAGACAGCAATAACAAAACCAATTTAATTTAAGTTGAAGCAAGATGATTACTTAATAGACAAAGTATCTGAGTGCCTCACATGAAAGGCTTGAATAAATAAGACTGCAATCTATGAAATGTAGAAGCAAAGGAATTGATTAATTAAATGATTCATTTTACTTGGGAACTAACATTGTCTAAATGCAGATAAGTATTTTATTTGTATAGATTATTAAAATGACCAAAAAAAAAAATTACTACATTATGTTGATTTATCTCCCTTCTCACTACTACAGATGGGACAGGAAATATATAAATGAATACACATTGATAATTATATAGTTTGATGAGGATGTACTTTCAGATATTTTGTCATACTTTCCATCATTTTGGTGGGTTTTTTTATGATTTTTTTTATAGATTTTAGCACTGTTTTTTACAACATTAAAAAGAAAATCAAATCTTCCCTTTAAGTCCTTATTTTCTTTATTACTAATGTTTTTTTTTTGTTTTTTTTCAGTTAACAAAATGCCAATCTGCTTATACCAATTTGAGTCAGAAATTAATGGATCTCTACCAATCATCGTTTGATGCTGATCCAGCTTCTCTATCCAACATACAACTGTATCCTTTCATTTAATTTTTGTCTTGCATATGGAAACAAATATCCAAACAGGTGCCTTAGGATGGGGTAATGGTCAGTGATTCTAGTTTGGTTAGCAATAACTAATGAGTTCAATCTTCACTGGGTGCCCCATATAAAATTTGACATTATAATTTGATATTTGTTAGCTTGGACAAAATAGTATTAATATATGCGACTAAAGGATATGAATTGGGAATCAGTTTTCTATTAAGTAACAAACTCATCCCTCAATTCCTACATATAATTTGAAAAAATATATTTAAAGGCTCTCATTTGATTTTTGATGGTTAAGCTAGTAGTGATATAGACTTTTAGTGGACAAAAAATTGGGGATCCAAAGAGTGCAAGTTCAATACCCGGTTAAGGCAGTGGAGAACTTGGAGAGGGAAATTAACAGGAGATAACTGATAACTGACATCCATCAAACATGGCACGTGGAACTAGAACAGTCTACCCCGGTGAGCGAAATAAAGGGTTCAGGTCAACATTCAAACTACCTGAAGAAGGCCCGAGCGTACAACGGCCGAAACGTTGTGATAAATATGGCGACAAAGATGAGGACAATAATTCAAATAATGTACATAATACCTCATCTCAGAAATATAGACAGGCTATGGGCAAACTAGTATTAATATATGCTTCTACTGGACATAAACTTGGGGATTAGGTCTCTATTGTTATTAGCTAATAAACTGATCCCTCAGAAATTCAACATATTAATAATTGAAAAAAAAAATACATTTAAAAACTCTCATTTAAAAACATATTAATAGGAAGGTACCTAATGGTTTATGAAGATAGTCTGGGTGACCATTACTACTGATTATTGGTTTTAATCCTCACTGGGTGCCCTATAAAAATGTGACATTTAGTAACCCAACCAGACTTTACATGTCAGAAAATCAACCAACCTAACTTAATAACAGGAAGGATTTTTGATGGGTAAACTATTAATAATATAGGATTCAATTGGACTGGAAATGGGGGATCTGTTTTATATTAAGAATACTTGTATGTATTATACAGTATAATTTATACTTGTATGTATTATACTTGTATTGTATTTTGTTTTTAAGAATAAAGTGCTCCCTCAGTATTACTATATATTAATAATTGGAAAAAATATATTTAAAGGTTCTGATATAAAAACCCAATAATTGGCAAGTGCCTCAAAATAATTTCTGACAAGGCTAGTCTGGATGACCATTTCTATTAAGTATTGGGTTTGATTCTCACTTGGTACCCTATAAAAATTTGATACTAAATAAATAAACTAACAAGGATTGACTTCATCATAAAATCAACCAACCTAACCAAATTTAATAAGAAGAATTTAACAAAACATGCTGTAATTTTTGATGGGTAAACTGTTAATAATATAAGATTCAACTGGACACAAAATAAGGGATCTGCTTTCTATTGTTATTAAATAATAAAATGATCCCCCACTAAATATCAAGTACAGTTACCATTATTTTTGACAGCATGTGTAAACAAGTATAAATATAAGATTCATTTGCAAATAAAGTGGGGGATTGGTTTTCTATTGTTATAAGTAATAAATTGATCCCCCATATTACTACACTGATAATTGGAAAAAATATATTTAAAATCTCTGATATAAAAACCTCTGAATTGGCAGGTGCCTTGAAGTAATTGCCATCAAAGCTAGTCCGGATGACCATTACTCGTGATTAGTGAATTATATCCTCACTGGGTGCCCTATAAAAATTTGACGTTAAATAACCTATAAAGGACAGACATGTCATAAAATCAACCAACCTAACCTAATATGAAAGATTTAAGAAAATATGCTATTTTTGATGGCATGGGTAAACTAGTATTAATATAAGCTTATAGGGGGACATAAAATGGGGGATCTGTTTCTTATTGTGATGAAGTAATAAAATAATCCCCCACAAAATTATTATTAATGATTGTAAATAAATATGTTTACAGACTTACACATAGAAACATTTCAACAAGAGGAAGGATTTACCAAAATATGCTGTGGGTAGATTAGTATTAATATAAGATTCTACTTGACATAAAGTGGGGGATTTATTTTTCTATTGCATTAACGCCTTCCCCAGTGTAGATGTGTATATACATTTTTGCCAAAAGTATCTTTTTCAGACACAGACAAATTATCACGTCCAAAACATAACATTCAAAAACCAGCTACAGGCATGTTTATATGTTGATCTGGATTTTTTAATGCTATTCTGAACTTGAAACAAGTCCAATTGCCAACTCGTATGTCTGGTAGAGGTGTTAGCCACCGTTCAGGTACTTCAAGGTGACTCAGTTTCTTAGTTACTATGTTAAAAACCAATAAAAAAAATTTGTCTGAAAATGAAACGTTTTTCCTAAAATAATTGGCAGGTAAGGGGTTAAGTAATAAAGTGATCCCCTTGAATTACGAGATATTAAAATTTGAAAAAAGGATTTTTAAAGGCTGTCATATGAAAGCCTAATAATAAGAGGGTGCCTTAATATGGTGTAATGGTTAGCAAAGCTAGTTTAGTTAAGCATCACTGTTGAGTAGTGTTCAATCCTTGCATGATGTGCCCTCAAAAGAAATTTAACATTTAATAAGCAAACAAGTGTTGACACGTAAAACCAACCAACAAATGTTTTTATTTAGAATTTTGTTTCTTTTGTCAGAATATTTCAATGGACGCTCTTGACTTTTTTCATTGTTTAACATTCTTGATTGTTATTAGATTGGAACACGACATTTAACATTTAATCTGGGATTTCTTAAATCTGCTTTTTGAACTTGTGAATAAACCTGGCATTTTATCACTACTTAAATAGACTGGGTTGCTTGTAAAAAAAAAAAAAAAAAAAAAAAATGAAAAATTGGGGGGGGCAATAATTTTTATACATTAGCATTCATTTGATCATCCTCAAGGGTGCAGCATTTGTCAGAACTGAAAAATATTGATTTTTTTTTTATCATTGGTTAGGTTCTATTCATAATATTTGATAGTGTAAAATCAATCCCTAATTTTTTGCAGAGTTATCTGGACTTAGCTGTTCAGCGTATTAAGAGACCTTTTTTTTATCAAAAAGATTTCATTTAAATGAAGAACAGATATATTCACTTTTAATTGAAGTACAGAAATTTGCATACCTGTTTATTCTTCATTTAAAATAATTAATTATAAACCTCAAATGTTTGTGCATGTACTTCCAAAAGATCTTTCCCCACCAAAAACATGGGTTTTTAAAAACAAATATTTTTTTGTTTAACTTTATAAAATTCTGAAAATTACAAAAAAAATGCATACCAATTATTTAAGCACAATTTAAAATTTGACATTTATAAATGATAAACTAATCCAGATAACTGTAAAAAAAAGTCACCACTGATCGATTTATATTATGAACAAAAACACCCTTCTAATCAATCAAAAAGGCAAAAGTTTTTCAATTCTGACAAACGTTGAGGCTTGCAGAAGATCCAATGAATCTTAATAAAAAAAAGAAAAAAAAATATTCTTCCCTCAAATTTTTTGCTATTATTTGTGAATGAACCAGTCTATTTAAGTAGTGCCCAAATATCAGTCTTATTATAAATTGTGATGTTGTTTGGGTCTGTGTAAAATTAATGATCATATCTGCAATTGGAATGAAATTTGTCAAAAATGGTGGGAAGAACAATACAGTTGAGACTTGTGTTCACCTTTTTCTTTTTATATTAAATGTCACCCGATATAAGACTCGAGAGCCACTCAAAGTAGAGAGTTACACTGAAAGAGGTGGTGGTAGACAGTTAAGATTATGAAGATAAAGAGGATGGATAATGTTTGACCCTTGACTTGAAGAGATCAAGATTTTAGTGTTCAAAGAAGCACCTATGTGGGAGACTTGCACAAAGTAGGGAAGAAACTGAGTTGAACTTTCTCCTGACATTTTGAAAACAGAGGGAATGAGAGTGATTCAACTCTTTGGAAGTAGCATGGCATGTTTGAGGTGTAAAGGTTTGAACTAGTGGAACTAAAGAATGGGGTTCATCTGAAGATTTGCCATGGAAATAGCAACACAGTAGCGATAGGCTTGCGATGTTGCATCTGTGGAAAAAAAAGGCTGCAGAGTGGAGAATAATTCATCCTTTGCAAGATCATGTAATGATTTTGAATTAGGGCTGGAAAGTGGGGACTGAGCAGCTCCGACACAAATAGGGCAGCAATGCTCTATTTGTGGTCTAATCTGACTCTTTGTAACAATAAAACGGTCACATTAGAATTTGTTTCTATGTGTCTTGCATGCATACACATTGTATGTGACACAATCGGACCCAGCCATGATCCATACATACATGAAGTAAGTCCTAAACTTTAGAAATGAAGGCTTCAAAACAGACACCAGAAGGAATATAAAACTCAATTTTCAGAACAATAGATTAAATACGACAAATTTGACAGTCGAATTAAGCAAAATAGGAAAAGACAAAATTATTTGTACGGTAGATAATATTGTTTTAAATTGATTCGTGTAAGTAATTTACATAATTATTTTATTGGTGAAACCTTGTAGAATATTTGTGATAATTCCAGAAAAGAGCATCACGTGATGCATAGAGTGTCACCGTTGTTATTCTTACGTTAACAACACGATGGGGAAGACAAAGGAGCTTAGCGTTGACTTAAGACAGAGAATTATTAACTTCAACAAGTTGGGAAATACTTACAGCACTATTTGAAACCTGTTAGCTATCCCTAGATTTATGGTACAGTCCGTTATAAAGAAGTTTAACCAGTTTGGCATGACAGTGAATTTGCCTGGGCGTGGAAGAAAACACAAATTGTCACCAAGAACTGTACAAAAATTGTGTCACAAGGTTAATATAAACCCAAGAGTTGTTTTAAAAGACATCACCAAAAATTTGGATACGATGGGTATCAGCATAAGTACTCACACAATACAATGTTGTTTAAATAAAAATGGGTTGTATGGAAACCGACCACAGCAAACCCCTATTCACATACCATGTCACATTTTTTGCTCAGTTTAATTTTGCCAAAACGTTTTTGGACAAAAGAAATTGCTTTTGGGAACAAGTACAATGAAGTGATGAAACAAAATTGAGCTTTTTGGACATAATGATGTACAAAAGATTTGGTGCAAGAAAGGTGAGGCTTTCCTCCCAAAGAACACAATGGCAACATTAAAACATGGAGGCAGTTTGATGATGTTTTTGAGATTGTTTTAGCTCAAGAGGGACTGGACAATTAATTGCAATAAGAGAAATAATGAAATCTGCAGACAATATCAAAACTCTGGATGAAAACTATCAGCGCAAAATTTTCATCTAGGTCGGTGATTGCTTTCCAGCAAGTTAATGATCCCAAACGTATACCTCACTCATTGACTGAATGCTTCAGAAAAAGAAGATTACAGTTCTGCCATCACCTTCAATGACTTCTGACTTGAATCCTATTGAAAATCTATGGCAAAAATTGAAAGTTCGAATAAACTGTCATTCAGCAAAAAACCTTCAGGAATTAGAATGTATAACTATTGAAGAATGGGAGAGAATCCAAAAAAAGACTTGTTCAAATCTCCTCCAAAACTTTAGAAAACGATTGCATCAAGTTATAAAAATGAGAGGCCATGCCTATTGTCGATTAATATTGTGAAAATTGTTCAATTTTTTCTATTTTTCATACTCTATGAATAATTTTGTCTTTTCCTATTTTGCATAATTTGCTTGTCGAATTTGTTGTATTTAACCAATTGTTCTGAAAATTGAGTTTCATATTCCTTTTTTGTGCTTATTAACATACAAAAAACCTGGCATCATATGGGCATTAGATTCTGAGAAATGGATAAAAATATTCAAAATTGATAAGTATACAAATAATTTGTTGTTGACTGTATATAAGCCAAGTCACAAGAAAGTAGATCCAGCCAGTTGCAAGCTGTATGTCAATGATGTAAAGATCAGCAGATTTGTGATGGTAGTGAGAGAATTCAGATCTTCTAGGCTCTAGTGAGATGTGGCCATTGAGAGTTGGGGATATTCACAAGATTGAGGCAGCTGATCATTACTGCCTACACTGAATTCTCTGGCAACACTTCATCTTGAAAACTGCCATCACACTCGCTGCAAAATTTGCTCTCTCAAGAAATCTCTGCTCACAAGATGACTGTTTTTTTTTTTTGTTTTTTTTTGGCCATGCTCTTTGTTGACAACTGGACAAATTAATCCATGAGGTGATTGCTCTGGACTCCCCTCCACACGGTTGACAGAAGCAGCATGGTGGACAACTAAAAGTGTGTCTTAAAACAGTTAAAGAGGACATCAAATCATTCTTGGGTCTGCACATGTTTGGGACTTACTACTGGTACCATGATAGTTTAGTTCTTACTCAATTGCATCTGATCTTGGTTGGCTTTCATTTAGGAGGTGGCAGATTAGTTAGTTTGATGTTGCCGGCTCAACCAATCCTGGGTGAATGACACAACAAGAACAAAAAGAGTGGGTGAGACAGAAGATATGGTCTGTTAGTCTGTCGAGACAAATGATAGCAGTGAAGATATCCTGAGTGTTACTTATCTACTCCTGGACTGTGCCAAGTGAATGTGTGAATACATAACACAATATATTGGAAACAGGATTCGCATTTTCATTTCTTGTTGTGTGTGCTATTTTCACCTTCTGTTCCTTTGTTGAACATACACCAGACTTTTCTCAGTTTTTCCGCACACTGGCACAAAACAAAAACTGAAACCCAATGTGGAATAATTTGTCACTTCGTTGAAAGGCTGAGAGGGCCCCAGTGTATGTTTATATATATATATATATGACCTCCATAAATACTGTTGTTGTGTTAGATAAATAGCAATAGGAAGGTTCAGATTCCAAAAATCATAAGTCCACTGTTGTAATTTCAAAGGTCATAAATCAGTTTCACAAGTCCGACATTAGAAAATGATGGGGTCATAAATCAAAAGGGTACAAACAAGCCACATCACAACTCGCAACATACAACTACCTTTTTCACCCACAAATAGCCAAGCAGTCTCCCTGTGGTCCAAAATAGTGTTCTTTTATTGGGATCAAGAACAGTTGCGGTCGGTTGAGACTGATAGGGAAGCACAAATAATTACCATGTTTCGAGGCTTTACTAAAGTCAACCTGATCTTGATTCTGATTTTCTTTTTTGACAGAACAGTTTACAAACTCAAAATTGGTGGAAACAGGACTAGCAATACAAAAGAAGTAATTATGAGTTCAATCCCTGGGCTAGGTAGAACTGACTCAGACTCATTGCCAAACAGGAAAAACAATAAGTGAACAGTACAAAAGAAGTAATTGTGAGTTCAATCCCTAGGCTGGGTAGTACAGACTCAGACTTGGTGGAAACAGGAGTAGCAATAAATGAGCAGTACAAAAGAAGTAATTGTGAGTTCAATCATTGGGCCAGGTGGTACAGCTTCAGACTCTTTTTATTAGGTCAAGAAAGGTTGTGATTGATCAAGACTGATAAGGAAGTGCAAATAATTACCATATTTTGAGGCTTTCCTAAAGTTGACCCAAACTTGTTTTTGAATTTCTTTTATATCAGCAGAGAACACAAATTCATTTTTGAGGTAAGACTTGGGTTTTCTCCTTTGTCGGCACATGTTGTTATCTTTGACTTTCTAAAAATCAGTTTGCATTTGAGCAGTGAATTAATGAAGACTGCCATCAGTACCATTTTACAAGCCGGACAAACATGGTAAGACATTTCTCTCTCTCTCTTCTCTAGTATTTTGAAATATTTTCTTCTAATTAATCAAACAGTTGTATCTTTATGTTCTTCCCCTTTGCAACTCTCTTCTAGATTATCCTTTTTTCTCCTCTCAAATGAAATATATTCAATCTTGAGCAATTCTGTCTATATTTCTGAGACAAAGTATTGTAACAGTTTACACTATTTACATTGTTCAGACTATTGTCCTTGTCTTTGTTGTCATATTCACTATGCTTTGGCCATTGTACTCTTCAGCCTTCTTCAGCTGATTGGAATTTAGAACTGGACTATTTATTTCTTCCACTGGGGTAGATTGTTCTAGTTCCATGAGTCATGCTTCTTCCAGATATCTGTTTCAGTTATTTCCCTTTAGTGACTCAGCTCTCTAAGTTTTTGGTCTCTGCTGTTGAACTCTCAGCTCTTTGGGTCAAGTCACTGGATTACTTCAACCAAGTGACTTGAGTTACGAGTTCAATAAGAGTTGTGAGTTCAATACCTGGCCAGAGCAGAGGAAGAACAAAAACCTGGAGAGTTGAGTTACTAAAGGGAAATAACTGAAACTTAGATATTTAAAAATGGCATGACTTAAGCAAGGATTTTATACAAAAATGAAAAATAGTTTGAATTTTTAGGATGAAGGGTTATCTTTATTCACTTTATTTACATTCAAATTAATATCCCCATCTTTGTTATTTCTATCACAATGTTTCAGCCATTGTACCCTCTGGCTTTCTTCAGGTGCTTGTTAATTCTGGTAACCTTCAGTGATTTTCAAACTGAATCCTTTATTTCATCTACAAAGGTAGATTGTTCTTGCTCCACTGTCCATGTTTAGGGATATCTTGTCTTGTCCCTATTTAGTAATTCTCAGTTATTGCTTGCCCTGTTTTATGTAGTACCTGGCCATTAGTTGCCATTAGTAATCCCCCCCCTTCAGTATTTGCATTTATGCTTCGGCAGGCATGGTGTGTCTGATAAAAGTACACTGTACATTTATCTTTATCCTCAATGAGTTAATCTTTTAATGATACGCTATTAAGTAGCAGGGTAGACTGGGGTCTTTTTCTTTTTTGTGTGGTAGTGACAGGAAATTCTGAATTCCAGTTGTGGAGAAGGCAACAGGAAAACACTCCAGTACACCAGCTACTGCAGGTGGGAAGTGGACCCCAAGATTTTGCTCTTGCACCCTCAATAGCGCTCACTTTTTTAGAAATTCCACTCTATTTTACCAATTTCTGGGCCTTCTTCTTCCTGGTAGACAGAACAAACAGCGATCATCAGATGGGTCCTAATTTGTTTTAATAATTTCATCTTTTTTTCAAATGTTTCATCTTGATTTTGATGATCAAACAGTCCAAATTTTGCAAAATTTTAACACCTCAGCCATTTCACACCTAATCCAATTGTATTGATAATAATTACACATAATTACTTTATATTTCTATTTTGCATGTGATCAAAGATTTCCTATAATATCGGAGTAATTATCAGGAATTCAATCACTGCAATCAGATACCATGGATGGAGTATAAATAGGAGTACTTTTTCTGGTTGATCATGTTCAATTTGACTGTACAACAGTCGATATCAAGAATTGCTCATAAATAAACAAATATAAATAGCGCATAGTAATTAGGGGTTGCAATCAAGAATTGCAAAGGAAGTACTTTTGAGGATGGTTAAAATTTATTGTATAAAAAATTGGCTGTAAAACACTGAAATAAGTTGAAATTTCGGGTAATTTACTTTTTAAGCCCCATGCTAAGTATTTAACAAAAATTTCCAAAATAGTTACATTTACATGTAAATTTACATGCTTAATTCGAAAATAACAAAAATATTTTGATAAAATCTACCTTTTTGGAATTATCGACAATAAAAGTCATTTACATTGTGGTAGCCATTACTGGCATTGTTTGCACATATTTGCTGCAGAATAGACATTCACTTAGGTCAGTTATTGCACATACACTGATGCAAACAACACCAATAATGGCTGCCATGTTGTAGCTGACAACGTATGAATGAGTCTGAACTTTTATTGTTGATAACTCTAAAACAGTAGATTTTATAAAAGTTTCTTTGTTATTTTTGAATTAGGCATGTAAATTTAGAATAAAAAAAATAACTGTTTGAGAAATTTTTATTAGATACTTAGCACGAGGTTTAAAAAGTAAATTACACAAAATTTCTTATGGAATCATTGGCATAAATTAGTATCATTTTTTGAGGTTCATTTCAAGCCATTATTATCGTGAAATACAGCCCCAAAATTGGGCAGGTGCTCAACCTCCTTTTATTGATCCCCGACCACCCCTACCCCACAGCTACTGTGATTTCCTTGCAGCACAGGTCAGCCATCTTGGACCCCAAGTAGGCTCATGGACTACTGTCTTTTTTCTAAGAAGATATGGCAATTCACAGATAATAAAGAAAAGGAATCTGTGGAGAGCCATGATCGCTTATGTACCAAACATGTCATGTGATCAGTTGCTGATAATATTTTCATGTTATTTTTTGCAGTGAAACCCTGTCCTTTGACAAAGCCACTGGCTTTAAAGAGATTCCTGACCAGAAATGTCCAGTCAACCAGCAGTTCTGCAACACACTTCATGCGATTGCCGACCGACTTTATCAGATTACTAACGTCTCAAATGGATCCGTATTGACTCACAAGGTAACATCTAACTTCTGTACTCACAAAATTTCCTGGCATTTTTGGGTGATGATGAGCCGAAAAAAGTCAAAGAATGTTTTGATTAGATTTTGGGAAGCAAGTCAGACTGAGAATTTATCTATAGTAGAAGAAGTTTCTGGCATTGCCTGGGACAAAAGACTGTAGTGGGAACATTGTTTCATAATGATCTCGGTCTCAAACTAACCTTATTTTCTGTCATAGATTTGAGTGAGTCAGGCTGAGAACTTATAGTAGCAGAATTTTCTGGCATTGCCTGGTATAAAAGATTCTAGATATAATAGTATTAACTGCATCACAATGATCAGAAGCACAAAACTTACCTGATTATTTTCTCTCATGGCCAATGAGCATTTGTTTTAAGTCCAAGTGAAGTTACTGGTAGTTTTTGTAAATTTTTGAAACAAAAAATGGAGTGGAATGAATAGAGTTCCTTTTTTTTTTTTTTTTTTATAAAAGCAAAAGCTAAGGACAGGCAAAAACTTTTTAGATTGTAAATTTGATTCAAGATTCTTTAATTTGTTTAGTATTTCCATGTCACAGATTGTAATGCTACCACTGCACTATTGGATGTAAAAATCAGTCTTCTTTTTAACTTAATCAAATGAAAACCTTTTCTTTGTTATTTATTCAGTTGAGCTAGATTGGTTCTATTTGACTACTAAACTATTTTTATATTAGGAGGCAAGTGATTATTTTGTTTAAAAAAATGTTTTTGCTTTGTTTCAATTGTCAGTTGTTTTGTTGGGTTTAGCTTAGTAGGACCTCGGTCAATAAATGAGATTGGCTTGAACAGTTTGCTATGTAAATTCCTCATACAAAAGTCAAAACAAACTCATGCAACATAATTTCTTAAAATTTGAAAAATAAAATCTGGAGTGCTTAACACCTAAACGCGACACCTCTCATCCATAAAAACTGCTCTATTGTCTAAACAAATCCAAGCTGTAGTTATTTACTTAATTTTATAAGTAAAACACCCAATAAGATTTAAAGTTTTATGTATACATTAGTATATAATATCACACATACATATATATAAAATAATAAGATGGAGACTTATCCATTTCATTTATGATTTTTATTTTGTGAACACTGAGATGTTCAACTCGTCAGAATAAAACCTCCCCACTAAACTCTTAGCCCTATCTTTACCCATCCCTTCTCTCTTACCTTCCCTCCCACTACTAATCTAATGTGTCCATCTAGTGTACTTTCTCCAATTATGGAGGAGGTTTCGTTCTGATGAGTTGAACACCTCAGTGTTCATGAAATAAAAATTATAAACAAAATGGTTAATTAAGGTCTCTGTCATTTTATTGTCATTATAATGCTTTGTAGTCTACATTGAGCTCTCCCTGGATTTATATCCACCTCAGAATTAACCCTTCCAGTCACAAACTGGTAAAACATATATAATTCTTTGTGCAAGTAAGGCTTTTAATACTTTTTCTCAAAAAGACAAGATATCAGACAAAATGCAACTAAAAGCAAAATTGTTCAAGATTCTGTAAAGTTATAAGAATATTAATTTTCGATATATTCATTACTAGCAGTAGAGCCCGGCGTTGCCCAGGGATGTAACAGTAAGAGATAGATCAAGTATCGACCATCATAAAGACTGAAAAATAAAATTGACAAAGATTATTGTTTAAGGTTGACAGACATGCATGTCTTAATTAGTTTTTTTTTTTTGTTTTTTTTTTTTTTTTTTTTTAATTGGTCAAACCCAAACTCAAACAAAAAACATTGTTTTCAATCGTTATGAGTCTACTGATTGAATAGAATTTTCAATTTTATTATAAACAATTGTCTTGTAAATGGAATTTTTAAAGCATTCTGAATGTAAAATAAAGAAAAAAGTGTGCAAGACAATAAGAAACACTACCTGCCAAAAAAAAGTGAAGTTTTGTTGAAATCGTTTGAAAAATGTAGGAAATCCGATCCCATATATAAACGAAAACACATACACACAAACAACCTGGGTTTTATAATAAGTATAACTCGATAGGAGTTGTCCCCCTTTCATTCATGAAACAGCGATGCCTCTTAATCGTGTTTTCAAATTGATTTTGTGCAAAAACAATTGTGTTTTTCCAATTTTTGGCACTGTCAGAACCCCCACAAGGTAATTTTACGTAGTCCTGTGAAGTTTTGTTGAAATTGGTTGAAAAATGTAGGAAATCTGATCCAATATATAAACGTACAGACACACGCACACACACACAACCTGGGTTTTATAATAAGTATGATTTTCTTGAATACAAAGATGAATGTTTTTGAAGCCTTCAAACTTAAAAAAATCTGATGTTCCCAGGGTTTAATATGCAACATTGATATTAGACTAAAACACAAAAATTTTGAATCTGTTCTGTCCCTCAAATATGTTAGTGATTAATCTTTCTGTTGATGTTACTTGATTATTATGAAATAAAATGTCAGCAAGTCAAATGTGAATAAGTGTTGCTCAACCCTAAAAAATGAATCAATCAATCATGAATCTCAACTTAAAATGAAAATTTCAGTGTCATTGTCTTCAATAGAAAGAATCTACTTGTCAACTTAGTAATTTAATTTTGCTTGAAAAATTTTTGTAAACTGTTGCTTTGGAAAGAACTGATTCTGAAGATGCTGGTCTCGCAGATTTTTGGAATCTTTGAAAAGGCTTGTTCCACAGACATCGCAATCTTTGGTCTCACTCTTTTCCATATTGATCTGCCCGTTGGTCTCACTCTTTTCCATATTGATCTGCCCAATGGTCTCACTCTTTTCCATATTGATCTGCCCGTTGGTCTCACTCTTTTCCATATTGATCTGCCTGTTGGTCTCACTCTTTTCCATATTGATCTGCCCGTTGGTCTCACACTTTTCCATATTGATCTGCCCGTTGGTCTCACTCTTTTCCATATTGATCTGCCCGTTGGTCTCACTCTTTTCCATATTGATCTGCCCGTTGGTCTCACACTTTTCCATATTGATCTGCCCGTTGGTCTCACACTTTTCCATATTGATCTGCCCGTTGGTCTTACTCCTTTTCATATTGATCTGCCCGTTGGTCTTGCTCTTTTCCATATCGATCTGCCCGTCGGCCTTGCTCTTTTCCATATCGATCTGCCCGTCTGCCTCACTCTTTTCCATATCGATCTGCCTGTCGGCCTCACTCTTTTTTTTTTTTTTTTTTTTATCAGCCTTCTCATTGGTTTCATTCTCTTTTTTGTAATGGTTTACCTATTGCTCTCTCTCTTTTTGATAATGGCTTGCCTGTTGGTTTCACTCTTTTTCATATTGGCCTGTCATATATTTAGTCTTTGTTTTCATTGGTCCACACAATGATAACATTACAAAGAAGATCCAATCAAAACTTCCTTCATTTATTATTATTTTTTTTTTTTTTTTTTTTTTTTTTTTCAGGCAAATGTATAAAATATATAATGTGGCTGTGAAAATTTTACATGCCTCTGAGAAAAAAAAATCTTCGGAAGAGACAAAATTTGCATAGAATTTTCATGGATGACAAAAAGCTTAACACATTTATCAAAAGAGATTTTAATGCCAAGAGAATTTTGTAAATTATGCTTGCGATGTTCACTTTTGCTATAATTTTTTGTTTCTTTTTTTTTTTTTTTTTTTTTTGTCTCCTCAGCACATGGCTTTCCTTTGTGAATCTGCTGAATTTTTGATTCAGACTTCTCTTGGATATCCACGATATTTTTTCCAAAGTTTGCAAATGACAGAAGTTAAGGTGAGAATTTGTTTTTTTCTTTTTTATGAAGCTATTGTGACATACTTTTGAAACTATATCCCATTCATATTAAAGTACTTCATTACAAAAAAAATTGGCTTGGGCATATTTATTTAAAATTTTAACTATTGCACTCAATAATTTCCAAGTATCAAGTTTTCAAAAGGTCAGTATTTATTTTTATTACCTGAAGCATTGTCAGCCATTATTATTAATTTTTAACCATTTTTTATTTTTATCAAAGTGTTGCTTGTTGGCACTTCTGCCTAGGATAAGTGTAGAATTTGTTTGATAAATAAGGTTATACATTGCATTTTATATATATATATATATATATATATATATATATATATATATATACATTGAGTGCTGGTGTTAATAGATTAAATGGGCTATATTTCAAATATTAATAATAAATATGCATTTTTTTGCTTACCGGTAGCATAACACTGAGTTCTATGTGCAATGCTATCTTCAGGTATCAATCAGCACCTGACAATTGTATTGTGCATGAAACTTAAGAGTTGTGCTACCAGTGAGGAAAAGAAAATGTATATTTATTTTATTTATATATATATATATATATATATATATATATATAGGTAATGATCCTTTTTATGGCCTATTTTATTATATTTGACAAATTTCCAATTTGATTTCATACTGTAGTGACACTGGCAAATTAATATGCCTAATTTGCAAAAGTGCAAGAGAAAGCCTATATAACTTGTCACTGAGAATAACGTGGGATGAAGACAAGCTTAGCGACTGACTAGTGCTAAACTTCGACTTCACATCACAAACTATGGGAACTTTTTCAACGATGATATGTTTCCATTTTGTTGTTTGTATTTTTAATAGTCAGGCAGCCTTCTCATCTTGGCATTTCTCTCTTTTCATTTTTTTATGCTATATTGTTTGTTTAGAATTGATACTACTGCTACTATGACTAGTAGTACTTTGAGATGGGATGCTTTTTATTATTCATATTTTTTATTTTTGACTACATTTAGTTTGTTCATATTTTTATCAGTACATTTGAGGAAGATCAATATTTTATTAAAGCATAAAATAAAACTTTCCTGAACTGAAAATCCAACATTAGAGTTTTTAAAGCTTTGAAATGATAAATGGCTTCTTGAAGCTTTGAAATGGTAAATTGTTTCTTAAGGCTTGAAATGACAAATGTTCTCTGAAATGTTTAAAATCGTTTTTTCTTCTTATTCAAAGAAAATTGACATAGTGTGTAAAAAAACAAAAACTTTTTTCACTTGTTTTCATTTTTCAGTCTTGAAGATGCTTAAATTTGATTTAACGGAATTGAATTTCTCTCACTCTCTCTCTTCCTCCTCCTCCTCCCACTGATTTTATTGTTTTCTCTTTCAGCTGGCCATTTCTCCTCAGCCACACAATAATATGGATCCAGTTTCTGTGCAACATGACACACATTTAGCTCTGAAGGTCGAAGGTGTCATCCAGCATGGAAACCAACCAAACCTCTATCGCCGAGCACAGGCAGTCACTGTCAATATAACCTCTGAACTCCACAGTCACAGTCACACGACAGCCGCTGTTATGGCTGCCAGTGGACTCAAGGTAAGGTATACTTGATCCCCATTTTGTTCACTCGTTCTAAGAAAATCCAAAGAAGGGTCTGTAATATAATCGATCCTTACCTGGCATCTCGACTTCAGTCACTTTCCCACTGCTGTGACATGCTTCCCTGTGGCAGGTTTTCTAATGAGCTTTTCTTGTTGGCAAACCTCTGCTGCCTGAATTTAAGCATACTACTAGATTGGCAACTAGGTCTCATTGTTCTACTCTTGAAATATCTAGATGTAACCTTACATTCTATTCTAATAGTTTTTTTTTCTTGTACCAAAAACTCATCTCTAAAGAACTTTACTAAAAACTTTCTTACAAATCATAGGTATACTAAATAAAGGATTCATTACTAAGTAAACCTACATAGGTTGCTGTGCTGATAAACAAGAAAAACCAAGCCAAACAACTGTCATTATGTGGCTTCCCTGTGTCTTTCCTATAAATATTTTTATGGTAGTTGTCCTAAATGCTCTCCTTGGTACCTTGGTTGCATGAATTTAAGCAAACTACTAGATTGGCTATTAGGTCTCATTGTTTAACTGTTGAAATAGTTAGATATGACCATAAGTTCTTTTTTCCTCACACTTTTTGTCTGTGGAACTCTCTTCTGATTTCTTGCTTTCCTGTCACCTACAATCTTCAAAAATTTAAATGCAATGTCAATCACCATCTTCTGTTTTCCTGAATTCTGTTACTTTCATTGTCCTTTCTCCTCACTAAAGTCTTTTAATTCTCTTCAGCTCCCAGTAATCTAATGCGTCTTAGTGACATTATCACCTAGCTTGTTATGAAATGATTAAAAAAAAAAATTGGGTTATCATTCAGCAGTTGGAGGTGGGGGGATGAAATCCAAGACCTCATAGATACCATAGTACTTTCTAAGAAATTTCCTGATATCAACACCCTGTTTAGAAGTTTTGTACTTTTGTACACCTGTACTAAAATATTTTTGGTCTATTTTAGTGAAACACAACTCATATTTTTAATTGGTTGAGTTCTGTCCAATCTGCCTGTGTTATGGGGAGCAACCCTTTAAACTCATACTCAGTGGGGGTACCACTTAATAGGTACTTGAACTATAGCTGGTGGGTGATGTTAATTTGATTCTGAAATTTCAGTAAATACCCAAAAAGTGTTTAAGTACCTGTGTACCAATTTATTGGCACCCAGGATGTATGGGTTGTGTAATGGACGACGGGTTGGAATGAGAAATCAAACAGTTTGAATTCCAGTTGAGTTTGTTACATTTACTTACAGGCAAATACAATTTGGAAAAGTAAGAATACAACTCTTCTCCCCTTAGCTATGGGTTAAATAGAGACGTGTATTTGGAAAAATCCTTATCTCCAAAAAATTGTTAATGCAATATTCCATTCACTAACAAAAAAAAAAGTTAGAATTATTCTTACAATCTAGAAATGTTTCAGCTTTAAATAATCCACAAAGGGTTGATAAGACATAAAAAAACAAATTCATTTTTCAGTTTCTCCTTGTACCAGTTAAATATTTATTCTTCTGATCAAGCTCTGTGCAATTACAAGTCTGCATCTGGTTGTGGTCAGAACAATCCGTGAAATTGATTAAAATTTACGATTGTGCCTCCATGCAACCCCCCAACCCCACCCACAAGAGTATGGTGTCACTTTTTCTTTCACCCAAATTTGTCTCCACCCTTTCACAAAATAAAATTTTGGCTTTTTTTTTTTTTTTTTTTTTTTTTACATTGAATTTATTTCTTTTATTTTGATTGACAAACAACAAAAATTAAAAGCATGGAAATGATATTTTAGTACACAGGTAAAAAAAATACTTACAAAATTAATAATAAACCTCACCAAGGGACTAAACCTCATAATGTCTTGAAATTTGGTAGTGGTAACCCACCCCCAGACATCCAATCTGTGTTTGTTTGTTTTTGTGTTTTTGTGTTTTTTTTTGTTTTTTTTTTTTTTTTTTAAGCATTTCACCCCAAGCAAGGCGGGAAGCCACTAGCATGCAAGGGGTTACAGAGAGTTGGAGTGAGAGCAAAGAGGAGTGATAGAGGAAAGGATGAAGAGAAGAATAGGGGGATAGATCAAGGCATCTAGAGACATCGATTGACATTACATTTGAATAGTTGGGCATTATAGCTATCAGGGAAACAGGAAAAGGGGAGGGAGTTCCACAGGCGAGAAGTGCAAGACATGAAACTATTGGAGTAGAAGAGACGGCTACATTTAGGCGTTTCGACAGTGAAAGGGTGACAGCAAGATGCCAGCCTAGCAGAACGCTTAAATTCATGAAGTCTGGGAACCAGCGAAAGCAGCTCATCAGAGCAGTTACCATGAAAGTATTTGTAAAAAAGACAGAGGGAAGTGACGGCACATCTGTGCGAGAGTGACTGCAGACGAGATGCCAGATCAGGGCCAATTACATTGCATATCCGTCTCTGGATTTTATCAAGAACCTTGAGACAAGCAGAAGGGGCTCCAGGCCATATATGACAGCAATACTCCATGCAATGGCGAATGGTTGATTTGTAGATTACTGGTTAAAATAAGATGTTGTTTGATTGATTCATTTTCTGACTTATCAACCCTTTCACTGCTTATTTAAAGCCAGAAAATATTTTTAGATTGAAAGAATTTTTTTTTTTTAGATAATAATGATTTAATGATACAAATCTTACTAACTAACCAATGGCTGGCAAGGGAGAGGTGCATTCATACCTTTCCCAAGGGTATTTGCATGTAAGTGAATATAAGAAACCCAACTAGAGTTGGGACTCAGATCACCAATTAAGATTTTCAAGTCATTATCCCTTAGCCCAGTGCTTCTCAAACTGTCTGAAATGGCAGGCAGTCATTTTTTTTTTCTCAATGTGTAATATTTTGTGGTAATATTAATTTATACCGGAAACAAAATATATAATGAATATAATAAAAGTTGAGTATTTTTTATCTTCCAATTATTTTGTGAAAAATAATTAAATATCAAAACATAAAGTAATAAAAAAAAGCATTTTATTAACACAAAAACAAAAATTGTAAAATTTCAATCTTTACAAATGATTCTTTCATATGACCAGGACACTGGCCGCTTACCGGTAGCCGAGGGTTCGTGTACCAGCACCGGTCCGCAGACCACCACTTTGAGAAGCACTACCTTACACCACCCATACATCTAAGCTTAGAGCACCTGGTATTCCTAACCAGTCACCTATCTAAGTACTGACCAGTTTTACTTCAGTGATCGTACATAAGCCTAGTAAGGAAAGGGATTGATGATTTACAGAGTGGCTCTAATATTGTGTGATTTCTTGTCTCCATCAAATATCTTGATTTTTTTTTTTTTATATGAAAATTGAAAAACCTGTTTTCGTCTGATCACTGAGGTTAAGCAACTTCAAGTCTGGTCAATATTTAGATGGGTGACCACTTGGGAATACAAGGTACTGTAAGCTTGGATGTGTGGGTTATGTAATCAATAGTGGCTTGGAATTAGAAATTAGAGAGCCAAGTTCCAATTCCAGTCGGGTTCGTTACAATTATTTTATGCAAATACCATTGGGAAGAGTATGAATAGATTTCTCTCTTCAGCTATTGGTTAAAAAGTAGGACTTTATCCCCCCAAAATACTTACAATCCAAAAATATTTTCTGGCTTTGAATAACTTTCAAAAAGGTTGAAAATCAATCAGTCAATAACATTAAAATACATTTGTAATCTTAATACACTGTTTAAAAAAAAATAAGAAAGAAATTTTTTGTTTTGCAATGTTACAATCTGGAGAACATTTTCCTATTTATAAATGGTTTTTCTGGTTTAATTAGAATAAAAATTTCAAGTAATCCCAATTTATTATACTCTCCTCATCAGTGGTGTTTTTTGCAGTTAGAAAGTAAGTGGGAGGCACTTGCTGGGGTGGGTTTTTTTTGTGTGTGTGTGTGTGTGTGTGTGTGTGTGTGTGTAGAAGTGAATGTGAGGAGAATTTTTGTTCATACTTTTTTCTTTGTTTTTTTTTATGCTTCACCTACCCGATTTATACAACTTTCAGAAATTATTTGAAAAATCTTGTTATAATACTTTATTAAATAAAATAAAATGAAGCACTAACTGAATCAGTTTTCGCAAAGAGTAATGGTGCCAATGACAACAGAATTCACAAATAATTTCCACATATTTAATTCTGCAATTATCATGGAGGACATCGAATTCACCAACAAAACATTCTAAGTCAATTTTCTCACCTGGCAAACTTTCACTTGATATCAGGGCAACATTATTTCACTGGGATAAATTCATTTTTAATTATTGATATAATATCAATTATCAAACAGGAAGACAAACTTTATGGTAATTAAATATGACTTGGATACTTTATGAAATCTTTTTTGAGAAATGTAAGATTATATATATATATATATATATATATATATATATATATGGATGATAAAAACAGACATATAATACTACCTACTAACTCCTTAATGTCTACTATCAAAATCAATGTATCTAAACAAAATCAAAATAAATACTGCTTCCAAAACTATTATAGATATGATTAGAACCAAAATACCTGTAACAATAATAATTTTAAAGCAGGTATATATAAAATAAATTCTCACAAATGCTCCTCACAATAAATTTATGAAACTTAAAGAAATTTAAAAACAAAAACATATCTATGAACACAAGAAGGATCTTATACACAAATATTTATCAAATGCACTCGTTATACATGGAAATAAATTCAACCACAACTTTGATCTAAAGAATGCCACACGTATTAAAAGAGAAAATAATTCAGATGGAAAATTTTCCAGAGTACTGCTATTGAATCTTATCAAAATATAAATCTATGCCTCAAATTTTTTTCAAATATCTCCATTCCTGAAAGAATTACTCCTTTCCCAAGCCAACATACACAACTATAAAAATGCTAAAAAATCAAAAGAAAATGGTTAAATTCATAACCTCCTTTTATTTAAAATATATAATAAATAAATTAATCCTAAAATAGAATAATTTAAATATTAATTGCATAAAATAAAAATTCAACATCATTTACTCACTTTTGTTCATTAGACATTAAATTACATCACTTAGCATCTTCCATAATTTACATAGACTTTTCAGTTAAGCTGATGAATATTTATGAGCATCTCTTAAATTTAAAAATTTTGAAAAACTAAACACATTTTTATTATATTTATAAATACTTGTTGCAAAATAAGATCCTCACATTTGTCTTGATAAAATCCACCAGAGGACAAAACGTGTTAGCCAAGTTTTCCTTTTCTCTTTATTCATATTGTCCTTTTACAGATATATATTTTACTTATATTTGAAATCTTACACACACACACACACACACACACACACACACACACACATATATATATATATATATATACACACACACCTGGTCAAAATCTTAAGACCAGATACAAAAAAGTTAAAGAAAATATAAAATGCTGTTACTTTAATCAAAATATATTTGTGAAACATTTACATTTAATTAGAAAATGTAGTTTATCAACAAACAAGTGAAAATTTTAAGCTTTTAATTGATTATTTTAAACAAACATTGAAAAAGATTTTTTTGGTTGGTCATAAAAATAAGACCATGTGTGAAAAAAACAAATTACTGGACAAAAATTTTAGAACTAGTCAGTGTGCTTGTAGCTTCAGACGTGTAGACATCTACGTAGGCCATATCCATTATTAAATGTCAGATTTTAAAATGACTAAGGGTAAAATTTTAACAAAGTTTTGAACAGGGTAGGATTGTTGAACTTCAAACACATGGTCTTTTGCAATGAGCCATTGCAAATGAAATTGGCCATAGCAGAAGTGTCATTGCTAACTTCATTAAAAATCCAGATGCATATGCTTCTAAAAAATCAAACAGTCGCCCCAATAAAATCTCACCATCTCTAGACAGATGCATTAGGTGAAGAGTTAAGAGAGATTCCAGCCTAACATCAAATCAGATAAAAGCAAATAAAGATGCTAAATACACAATTAATGAACAATTCGATGGCATTTAAATAAGAAAGGGTTTAAGAACCTGAAACAGCCGTAGACGCCTCACCTTCTTCTTTGCTATAAAACCTCCCGTTTACAATTTGCTTCCGATTATCAAACTTGGGATGTGGATAAATGAAAGAAAGTGTTGTTTTCAGATGAGAAAAAATTCAATGTTGATGGCCCAGACAGTTTTCAGCGTTACTGGCATGCAAAAGATGTCCTAAAGAAATTTTCTCAACACTACACAGTGGAGGTGGATCAATTATGGTCTAGGGTTCATTTTCATACAATGGAACTCACAAATACAATGGAGTTACAGAAGTTAAAGGTCATCAAACAGCTGCTAGTTACATTGACATGTTAAGAAAGGCATCACTAATTACTAAAGGCCTTCATCTATGTGGAGAAAACTGGCTTTTCCAGCAGGACAATGCTGCAATCCACAATGCTCTCCAAATCGAAACCCAATCGAGAATTTTTGGGGATGGATGTCAAAGGATGTTTATAAACATGGATTACAATTTGAAATTGTGGATGCTCTTCATGCTGCAGTTTATGCATCCTGGATGAGCATCCCAAGCACCCTCATGCAGAAGTTAATAATGAGTATGCCAAAGCGAATTGCCAAAGTAATTCACAAATATGGAGGATGTACTGAGAATTAAATTGTCATTGTGACTTATTTGTTCTGTATTTGTTATTTTTATTTACATGGTCTTATCTTTATGACCAACCAATAAAATCCTTTTTTTCAATGTTTGTTTAAATTAATCAATTAAAATTAATGTTCACTTGTTTGTTGATAAACTACATTTTCTAATCAAATGTAGATGTTTCACAAATTTATTTTGATTAAAGTAACAGTATTTTATTTTTTTTAACACTTTTGTATCTGGTCTTAAGATTTAGACCAGGATTGTATATATATATATATATATATATATATATATATATATATATATATATATATATATGCTGTCTACTTAATTTCATGCATGACCATTTTCTTACATGTAAAAAGTACCTGTAACTCACAGAGATTATAGTGATAAATTTTGTCCAACATGAATACGACTCTCTGAACATCACTTTGCATAATCCCATGATGAGAATGCTTAAGGTAACCATTGATAGCTTCAGGTTGTCGGTTTTTAATTCAGAGTTATCCTTCCTTTACACTGATTACCAACCAAGACTGAAGAACCCAATCTGCTCTACTATTTAACCGATAGCTTTGGGAGAAGAGATGGAGTCATATCTTTCCCAAGAGTATTTATGCATAAGTGAATGTAATGAACTCAACTAGAATTCAAACTCAGCTTGCTGAGTTCTCATTTTCTCATTACGAGCTGCTACCCATCACATCTGCATATATATATATATATATATATATATATATATATATATATATATATATATGATAAAAAATATAGTTTTAAGGTATGCTATATTTGTGGATAAAAGTGCTCAATATCAGGGATAGAGTGCGTGTAAATATATAAATAGACATTGATGTTAACACCGAGTTGCAATCGTTTATTTCATGCTTGGATGAAACTTTAATGAATTGATGTTACTTGATATTCTATAATATTTATTATATACAAAATTGTTGTCTTCTTCCTTTTTGTTTGGTCTAAAAGCAACTTGACTTTAAAAAAAAAAAAAACTTAATAATTGATGTTACTTGATATTCTATCTTCAGGCCATTTGGTTTCATTGGATTTAGATCTTTTCTTTCTACACTGAAACAAATAAAAAATATTAGAATAAATGTAATATCCACTTTCTCTAATGATCAGACAGTAATTTTCAATTTCTCTCTTTTTGTATTTATTATGTCAAAGTTTGGAATAACCAATTAACAATTCAGTAAAATGAATATTTGGTAATCTCAGACCTTTATGCCTGCAAAAAAAAAAAGAAAGATGAGTGTCAAATTTTCATTCAAAAAATGCAGCCCAGAGAAAAAAGTTTGATTTTGGAAACCACTGATATAGACAGTAGAATAAGAACAATCTACTCCAATAGAATTCAGTTTGAAATTTTCCAAAGTTTACCATGATCGACAATCCCCTGATGAAGGCCGAGGGCACAAGGGTTGAAATGCTGTGATGCCAACAAAAATGAGGACAATAGACCACATGTAAATAATGTAAATAAAGGTAATTCCTCATCCCAGAAATTCAGACAGAAATTAATAAAGTTGAACATATTTTTTTGTTGTTGTGGGGGGGGATGTTACAAGTAAATCAGCTTTGATTATAAGAGACAAATGTTTTGACTTTTGTGTCAACATTAATTTTGCTTTAGGCAATTTCTATTTATTCATTTATTTTATTTTTTTTTAATTTTCAGAATTCTGACCTACCTCCAGTGAAACTGAGCAAGACGCTTGAACCTCAAAACGATTATTTCATCTCAAGTTTCTTGCTGGCTCTTCCAGTGCCTGGCCTTTATTCGGTCACCATTGAAGCATATTTGGTTGATGAAAACGGCTTTGTTTGGAAAACTGGCCCACGCAACTCTCTAATGGTCAAGTGTTTTGATGATATATTGCAACAACGACAGCAGAATATGAGGAACGTACCTTGGAATTCCAGTTAAAATACTTCTGCTTTCACCATTCTTGGATTCTTTGATTGCTTGCACACATTTTCAGCTAGAGGATTTTTTCATCTGCCAAAGTTTATCTTTCTCATAAAAGTCAACCTCTAATATATAGACATAAATCTGGGTCCTGCCGTCATTTTCATGGAGTCCACATTTGTGTTTGTCAATCAAGACATTAAAAAAAACTGTCATTCAGATTTCATTTTCATTCAAATAAAATTAAAAAAATTGCACACTACCAAAATGAGTTCACATTTATTTGTATTAAAAGATAAAAAAATTTAACTAATAAAAAAAAAAAAAACACAGAAGAAAATAGTTATTATTGCTTTGTATAATACTAATGAAAAACTATAATTTTTAAAATGTTAGAAAGAAAAACTTGTTGTATTTGAAGACAGAAAAAAACTGCTTCTTTGATCTTAATTGATATATTTAATAAGAATAATATTTCCCCTCTAAAAAAATATTGTAATGATCTGAAAAGATGATAGTCAGATGGAGCAAGGTCAGGAGAGTAAGGAGGATGCAGCAAAACATTGATAGTGCCATAACCAGTGGCAGACTAGCCAGGGTGTCAGCTTGCCTGATGTCAAGTGGGCCCCCTATATATAAAAAAAAAAAAAAACTATAAAGAAGCAAACACAGACAACTGTTTTGGTAATAAAAAGGAATAAGAATTTTATAAAGTCATCTGCACACTATCAATTACTCAAGTCCAATGTAAGATGACATTTTCTAAAGCTAAAGACAAGGTTAAGAAATTTGATGTTTGAGGATGGATTCTCCTTTTAACAGAAAAAGGAGAATCCATTATCAAACATAAACCAGACACTTGTTTTCCTTGCATATGATTAGAGAGAACATTTTATTACTGACCTCAGTGTCCACTTTTATATTTACATATGCTCTATCCCCGATACTGAGCACTTTTACCCATGAATATAGCATACATTAAAACTATTTTTATTGTGTGTGTGTGTGTGTGTGTATATATATATATATATATCTAATGAGCCAGACAAACCTACCTAGGTTTCACCTAAACGGATCGTCAGGGAAAGTAAGGCTAACGAGGCAAAGAGAAACGCATATTTATAGGCGATAGCTAAAATTATACCACATGACCAAAGAACCACAAACTAAGGTAGGTTTGTCTGGCTCACTAGGTGTATCTAGGTCTGCTCTCCGTTAGTATTGAGCGCTTTTGTTAGTTAGTTTACTCGTAGCGGGGTTTTTTCTTTGGACTTCAGACCTGCATCTGTGTGATTTTTTTTGTCGGCAGAAGTTCATGTTTGTAGCTCTTTCTTTTTTTAAAACCTTTTTTTCCCTCGAGATTGATTTGATTATTGGCAAATCAAAAATTCGAGGGTTTTTCAAAACGAGTCTAGTTATCTATATTTATATAATATATATATATAGGAGACACGATAAATTAGTGGATAGCAGGACACATTGAGGAATCGGAGAGCCAAGTTCAAATTCCAGTTGAATCCATTATATTCACTTACATGCTAATACCATTGGGAAAGGTATGAATCCTCTTCTTCTCCCTCTAGCTATGGGTAAATAACAGGACAGACTGGGGTCTATAGCCTTGGATGGTAACTGGTCTAGGAGAAGGACAATTCTGAATTCAAAACCTATGGAGGGTCGTTTGGGGACCTTGTGACACACAGTGCACCAGGTCTCTGTATTCAGCTCTGTAATAATATAAATATATATATATATATATATATATATATATATATATATAATATATCATATATATATTATTATTTATATATTATATGCATGGTACTTATTAGAAAGCTCAATATCAGAGATAGAACTAACATATTTGGTTGGATTGATGTGAGTTTGTGACCTGGGTTTCACGCTTTTGCATCATCAAACTCACATCAATCCAGCCAAATATATATATATATATATATATATATATATATATATATATATATATAAAAATAAGGTACATATTTCTGAAACATGTACGAGGTCAAATCAAAAAAAAATATCGGGCTGATATTATAAAAAGAAAACTACAACATGTATATATTCAGTACCACAGCGGTTCCCTCAGTGACTATGGCTTGTGCAGCAGTTTTGGGCCAAGGACAACATTCTTAAGGTCTGACAACCACCATATTCCCCAGGTCTTGCCCCTGTTAACCTTTTCCTCTTCCAAAATCAAATCCCACCTGAAAGGAACAAGATTTCATGATGTCAAGGAAATCCAAGAGAATGTTACAATACAGCTGATTGCTATCCCAAAAAAGGAAAGTTTCAGGAATGTTTCTATGAGTGGAAATGATACTGGATAAAGTGTTTGGCTTCAGAAGGAGATTAAATGCTGAATCGATACTGCAATAAAGCAGAGCATAACTTACTTAATACGAAGCATGTTTGAATTGCAGCAGCTGTAACAAGAAATCTGGCTGAAATATGTGCAACAACTGTCAATTGATGAAATGGACATCATATCTATGCAAATTTATTATCACCTGCCACTTACTATACAAGTGGCTACATTGCTTGCTAGAGGAGAGTAGTAATTCTGTAGATGACGCTCGTGGTGTGTAGTAGAGAGAAAAAGCAGTACAGAAGACATTATCAAAATGCTCAATACTTAATACAGATATGTGTTGTAGTTTGTGCACCTTGAGGCAGTGTAATGATTAACAAGCTTGTATCACTAGAAAAAATACGACTGAATAGTGAGTTCAATCAACACTGGGTGCCCCACAATTTTGGCCTTGTACCACATCTAAGCTATGCTTGGAAAATCATTATATGTTGTAATTTTCTTTTATAGCATCACTCCTGACTCTCTTTGATTTGACCTTGTGGAATCTTCCACATTAGCCTTCTACCCCTTTTGGAGAGATGTATTCTTCCCTAGAAAAAAGCCTTAACCAATCACCACTTCGTTTTAGTAAATTCAATCTTCTATTGGTTAAGAAACACTAAACTGTAGCAAAGTCGAAACAGATCCTTTTTACCGCCGAAGCTCCCTGTAGCCGATTTTTAACCACAAAATCGCATGACTCAATTCAAGTCAGTCAGTCAGTCATCAAGTTTCGTGAGATGCTACCAAACTCCACGCGTGTCAATTCACTGACACAACATCACTTCAAAATTCTCAACAAACTCAACACAGCACTTGATCGACCGTTGTCCACGTAGTAATCAAAATACAATTGACTTAAAAAGTGATTGTTTTCACTCCACAAACAGTAATTGTACAATTCATCAATTTAGCCAAACAGTTAAAGGCAAACAACTCTTCACAACTTAAATTCTAACTAACAAGTAACACATGCATACACACTAGTATTTGAACGAAAACATTTGAGATTTTTCCTTGCAGAAACCAAATTATTTTAATTTCACTAACAAATCAAAACCATTATTGACCAAATTTCTGCATGAACATTCTTCATAACCTTGTCTCAATTGCCACAATCAACAAACATTCTGTTATCCTTGCATGTATATCTATTGTATATATAAAAATCTCTTTATTGTTGGATCTCTAACCACTGTGTTTTTAGTAATTTCTTGCAATACAATTTGTCTTTATATTCTTTATTTAATCTACGTGTTGTGGGATAATGCATAATAAGCACGCATAACCTTTGCCTTACATAAATTACTTTCTGATACATTTTCACTCAGCTACAACCCACAACACCCTCATACATGTTTCAGAAATATGTACCAGTTTTTAACTTATATAATGATAAAAATATAGTCTTAAGGTATGTTATATTTATAGGTAAAAGTGCTCAATATCAAGGATAGGGTGTAGGTAAATATAAAAGTGGACACTGAGATCAACACTGAGCAGCGACAGTCTGTTTCATGCTTGAACGCAATCTTCAGGCCATATATTCAGTTACTGCTGTTCCTGAAATACATATTTTAGCAAAATTTTCCTCTTGTTAAGTTTAGAAAACTTTCCTTTTAAATGGTATATGTTTTCTCTTCACCCTCAACAATTAAGCCTTCAAGTGTTATAAAAGAATGTCACTGAAATAGCTGTGCTCAGCTCCCAATAAATTCAAATTTTAGTTATTCAATATAATTATAATATATAGAAACAAAACAAATTTAACCTATTATGGAACGATGTTAATCCTAAAACGTATACTTTGTATAATAAAAATTAGTTCATTAAAATATTACAAAATTCCTTTCGTATTGTCAGTATTTACGTTTTATTTTAAAATTTGTTCAAATTTGCAGAAAACTGTTTTTTCTTGGCAAGGGCAAATAACTCTGTTATCAATTGTCTTTATTCGAAATTAGAAAATAGTATAAAATATTTTTTAAATTATATTTTCGTGATTAGATTTCAAGTATTTTACGCTTGCTGTTTGCATGAAAATCGTATTATGACAAATGAAAAATGGATGAAAAAAGCTATTTCTTTTTGCTTTTTTAAATAACGTGATCAAAGGGAAATAATTCTTTACTTCTCTCCGAAGAAGAGAGAAAATCACTGGAAAAAAAAGCACATCCGTCTGCTATTATATTTAACAAATAAAAAAACGCGGGAGTCTTGATCTTTTCTTTTGATCAAATATCGATTTTTTTTTTCCTTTTGATCCTTATATCTTATCAGTATTATAATAAAAGAAAGATGAGAGTTCATTTGTATGAATTAGAAATTATAGTTATCCTTAAAAATGTCTGTAGTAGCCGGCCACATTTTCAGACAGGTCCTCAAATTTCTTCAACAATGTCAAAGCTTCAACAAAATTGATATAGAATGTTAAGGAATTACCTTAAATTTTCTTAACTTTAATTTAGGGTTAAGAATTCTTATGACTAAAAAGCAATTCAAGTTGTGTAGGCACTATCATTGAATCTTTAAATTTTTTCTGAGTACACACATGCACGCACACACACACACACACACACACACACACAAACAAACACATGAATAGTAAAGACGAAAATGTATATATATAAATATATATGTGAATAGTAAA